ACGTAATTTACAACTTTTAATTTTCACTTCTAAAGCCACTCCTGAGTAACTATTTATTTATTTTTTATTTTGATTACAGCTTGATGCCACACCGTATTTTCAGTACAAGTATGGCATTTTCAGCATGGATATCGGTAGCCCAAATTTTGCAGGCCGACCATAGATATCGGGTGTGCGTCGGTAGGAGATCAAACCCCGGACCATGTGCATGGTCGGCGAGAGTCCTAACCACTGTGCCACCGACGCACAGCCCCCTCATGCTATTACTCAATAAAAGACAACCATACATTTTTCGTATGTAGAAATACGACAGTATAACCAGCCTATAAAGATGATTTCGTCGTTAAAGAAAATTTTCTTCGCTAAATCTGTCTTTTATTTTCTTCAAGACTCAACGGGAAGATCTAAAATTCAGTTAAATAATTAATATGACCCGTTGCACAAGAGGTGGGTGGCTGTCGTGGCCCAAGTGGTCTAGTGGATAATGCTGTGGCTGGTGTCTGAAACTATGAGTAGTGGGTTCGAGCCTCCATGGTGGGAACATCATCACTGACTAACTGTGGAATGCAGGTACACGCGCTGAGCTGACGAGTCCCGGATAGGACGAAATGCGCGTTATCCTGCACTGGATTCCACTGCTAGTCAAGTCATCATCCACCATTTAGCTTCTAATTCCATGCCCAGACATCGTCGTCGAATCATCTGAACAAGAAGCCAACAGATATGTCAACCTGAGACCGAGGAGCACTTCGGTTCAATCAATCGACGCGAGAAAAAAAAAACAACAACAACTTACAGCTAACAAGTTGGCATGGATTTTTGACCAGCCAACTGCGCTTACTCCACTTGGTGTTTCATAGTAGCGTTCAGGGTATTCAATGAACTTCAATGACCAACAACATACCAAACCTTTGCGCTGGTGATCATATTCAAACTGGCCATAGCCGACAGCAAGAATATTTGGATTTTGTTTATTCCACGCCATATCTGCTATGTTACGACCCTATATTTGAAGAAAAAGAATATTAATAATAATGATAATAATAATTTTTGCTTTATTCCAAAAACAGTACTAATGATACAACAAGGAATTTTCAGCATTCAGTACAATATTGCCTCTAATTTACTCAAAACGACAACAACAAAAATAAACATTACATAATAATAATAATAAACAAAACGTTGTTGTAGCAGCTATGTAGCAAATACAGTATTCGATAAAGAAAAAAATATGCACAAAGTATAAAATTGTAGTAATAATAGTAGTAATAACAACTAAAATAAAATAGCTAAATTAAAATTAAACGATAAAAAGAGTGACAACATAAAATTACAGAAAGATGAACGAACGATGAAAGGGTCGATTCACTTTACTAATTACATAGTAACTTCTTATATATTTCACGTCTAACAGTGCCTCCATCACATAAAATACGGGCTAAATAGGGTATTGTAGAATTTTTGTACCAAGTGGTTCAAGCATATAACTTCCTACATTATTGACTTCTCGTCCTACCTGATGAGATGCAAAGGGATAGTTGTGAATAAAGCGGGGAGGGGTGTGCAGACGGTCTGACAGTACAGCCTTTGCCCATTTTGTACAGGATTTTATATGTCTCTAGACTATAATATTGGCGTGGCGAGCTCACGCAGTGGCATACCACAAGCCCTACTCACAGCATTTAATACCCTTCGTAATTTAATGATATAGTCTTTTTTTGACAAGCCCAGGAAAGATTAATGGAGAGCAATAGAGTACAATAGGTAAAATACAGGAGTTTACAAACTGCATAAGTAAAGGTTGCTTGATACCTGATTGTCTTAACATTATTTTTAATGTAGAAGGTTGTAGACGAAACATTTTCTTAGAGATTGATAAAATGTGGGATGACCATAAAAGGTGAGAGGAAAGAACTAATCCAAGGTATTTAATGCTTGACTTGGTTTCAATTTCAGTGCCATCTATGTATGCTACAGGCATCATGGGAACTAATTAGTTCATGTATGTCACTTCGATGCTTGACAGTGAAGTTAACTGGCTGACATTTGGAAGGATTTAACATAAGACCATTTGACTTAGACCACTTGCTGATGTCCAACGGAAAGCTAATAAGTTTGGAGCAGTCAGACTCGGAAGTAATAGGCAGTGATACAGTCAGATCATCAGCATATTTGACAAAGTTAGTTTCGTCTAAATGAGGTAGGTCATGTAGGAAGAAATAAAAAAGAAAGAGAGAGAGGACGGCACGTTGAGGAACACCGGCTTTAGTAAGCGAGGCAGAAGAAGATAAATTATGTAACTGGATAAGTTACATGCAGTCCTGTCTACACTGCAACCTTGTTCAGCCAGTTTGTTGGTTTTCACCGGCCCGCAAGTCTTCGAGTTTGTGTGACATTAGACAGACAAATATCATCTGCGAAATTCAGATCTTCCAGAGTCTTCTTATCAGTCGTCCAGCGTATTCCTGTCTCCTCGCCCCCAACAGCCTGGAGCATAATCCACCCCACCACAATTAAGAATATCATCGGTATGTACTTCGATCACCTGAAATGTAGCACTGTCCTATAACCAGCTGTTGAACGAGGCTGATAAGGACTTGAGGTAGGCCGTAGTGTTGAAGTACTTTCCAAATGACTTCTCCGTCAACGCTGTTTGTCGAAGGCCTTTTCAAAGTCGATGAAGTTGAGGTAGAGGTTTGACTACCATTCTATGCTTTTTTCGATGACGATGCGTAGAGTTGCAATTTGATCAGCACATAATTTGCCTTTCCTGAATCCAGCTTGTTCCGGCGGGCGGAGTTCTGTATCCAGTGCATCCTTTATTCTCTCTCCAGGATGATGTGACATAGTATTTTACTTGGCGTGGACAAGAGCATTACTGCACGCCAGCCAGTTCTGGTACAGGCCTAAGTAGCCCTTCTTTGGCAGTTTGACGAGGTAGTCCTTCTTCCAATCAGTAGGCACCTTTCCTTCATTCCAGAAGTTTTGCAGTAATGCAGTGAGAGCATCTATCGTAATTTCTGGGGCCATCTTCAGTGCTTTGGGAGGAATTCCGTCTGGTCCTGCTGCCTTCACGGACTTCAGTGGCTTGATTGCATTCAGGATTTTTTCTTCCTTTGGAGGAGTGATGTCCACCGGAAGTTCTGTGAGTGCTGTTGTTGGTGGTGTATTTCTGAACGAGTTGCCGGTGGTGGTCGATTCAAGAGTCCTTTAAAGTGATCCGCCGATTGTTTGATTTGTTTCTCCTCCTCGGTAATCAGGTTCCCTTGAGAATCTTTTATTGGTTTCGTCATCTGGGTTGATCTCTTCATAGATAGAGACCTGGTTATCTGATATAGTGTCTTGATGCCTCTTTTGCCTGTGGCCTTTTCTGCTTCAGTTGCCAGCCAGTGTGTCGTAGAATTGTCGTTTGTCTTTCCTAGCACTCTTCTTCACTTCTTTATTCATTGGAGTGTACATTGAACTCAGCTTCTTCTTCTGTTGTCCATCTTTGTAATGAGTTATCTTCGCTTTCACCATCCTCCTCTCCTCTCCTCGATTAGCTTCTAGGTATCCGTTGACAGACATTCCTTGTCTTGTCTCGTCTTTCTTACTAGAACAGCTGCACACGTTTCCGTAAATATCGCTTTCAGAGATTTCCAATGTTCTTCCACACAGATTTCCTCAGTGATGCAACGTAGTGTGTCCGACTTTGCTCTGATCTGATCTGTAGCGAAGACATCCCTTGTAGTTTTGTCCTTCAATTTCTGAATACTGAACTTGAATTGTGTTGTCTCCATTTGTTTTCATGCATTTCAGCTTCACCTTGAAGGTTCCTTGAACTAGATGATGGTTCGAGCCCACATCAGCTCTCCTTCTCGACTTTGTGTCCAGCACACTGGCTGTGTCTCCACTTTCTTGAGATTGAGATGAAATCTATCTAGTTCATAGTGTGTCTGTGAGACGAAACCAGTGTTGCTTTGCTTATATCCTTCTGCTTGTACACGCCACATCTGATCCCCAAATCATTGAAAGTGCAGAACTCTGCGAATAGTTCTCCGTTCACACTCACTTCTATGAATGAGAGCCTCTCGACCTATGATGAATTCTCTTCCTGTATTATCTGCTCCCAGTTTGGCTTGCTAGCATATCGCCCATTAGATTTTGGTGCCACCATTTGGGATGTGTCAAACACACATCCATATGTTCCTCTAGGAACTAAAGGAAACAATAATAATAACTTGGGATGTTGTCCATTACTGTTTGTAGTTGTCTGTAGAAATCCTCCTTCTTTTCTTGTTCCGCGTTTTTTGTAGTTGCGAAGCACTGGATAATTGTTACCGTCCTTCCTTTGGGGTTGAGTCTTGCTGTTATGATCCTGGATGAAGTTGGTCCCCATCGCATTTGTGCTTTGGCTGACACTGATGACATCATGTTAGCCACTTCCTCAGTGTGTTCGTGGTTGTCGGCTGTATAACTGGAGTAGATCACTGACTCTCCCGTTGACAATGTTGTCAATCCACACCCATTCTATCTGAAACAGTATTAGTATTTACTGGATGACAAAGTTGTTTCGAACACAATTCATTATTGTGGTTCATAATCATATCACCAATTATAATCACACGACATCAAAACTTGAGTTTTATAGTTTTCTTTGTTCTCATCTATTTGTCGTTGTCATTAGCGTAGTAGAATTATCCAGATGTCCAGCTGGACAGGTGTTGAATCATTCCTATTACACGTGTTGATTTACAGTTGACTCAATAAACAAAGCTTCCATTATCAATCTTCCCCATTTGCCACCCTGTTAACTGTCTTGGATTTTAAAACTGTCATCCTATCCCATCCGGCCCATTGTATGTTTGGGTGTGTGTAATTGCATGTAGTGCTTGTGATAGCTGCTCAACTATTCTCTAGATTTCTTATCTTATTCGGGTCAACTAATCTAGATTTTGCTGCTCGGTGTTTATGCTGCTCGGCTAGTCTGACTCACTGACTGACCCTGTTCTACTACTTTGACCCATCTATGTATTTGACCTGACAATCATCGCAGGCAGGGTATTAGATAAACTAAATTTTGTTTTGTTGGCTCCACAGGATTGGTCCTTTAACCAACAAAGCATGTTTGTAATTGAGTTTGTGGTTGGTTGGAATTCCAGCCACTTTTATTCCTGCCCGGCTTGTTAAGAATTCTTCGCTGTAAGGTTGCTGTGGTTCCTTACTCGTATGGAATTACTACTGATGATTTACATTCCTAATTAATAGTGTTGTCTTCCCCAAATCTGACATGCATGTCGTCATTAATATTATTATTATAATCACTATCACTACTATCATTATTTATTTTATTTTTACATTTTCCTATATATTTCCTGACTAATTTATCAGAGTAATTATTAAGTTAATATCAGTAAAAAGTTTGAGCATTGTGGATTAGATCAAATAAAGTATAATTATATTTTAATAGTTTACACACAATGATAAGTTTTGTTATTGGTAATATTTCGAGCAAAATTACTGCCCGTGTTCAAGGCTTCTCTTATATGCCTCATTTCCTGTCTTAGATTTTCCTTGGTACTACTTAGTTTTTGTGCTCTGTCACTTGAACATTTCACCAATCTTATTTTACTGACGTAGGGTGGGATGATCGGAAGTCCAAGTATTTGATTGAATGTGTGGGTTTCCTGTAAACACACACTAGTGTGTTTTACTTCCCATCTTCTTTCCTTTTTCCTCTGTAATCTAACATTGGAAGCTGAAAGTTTCAATGACTATGTTTTGCCACCTATCCATGAATATGCCTGGCACAACTGGAGATATTGGTGACACCGTGGCAACTCCCTCAGTTCGTTTGTATATTTTCCCTTGGAATTTAAATATAATATGTAATATTTCCAAGAATATTTAGAAAGACACATATGGTGAAATTATATAGAATTATATTATATAGAATTATTATATGGAAAACGCGCTCGCGAACACTACCCAGCCTGGCTGGTAAAAGGAGACCGAAAACGTGTATACAGTTCAGTGACAGAACATCTGGTCAACTCAGGACATTCAGCGCCTTTCGAAAAATCCTTCGAAGTAATATACAAGATTCAATCAAACCTATCAAAGGGAGTGAAATCAAGACATCTGAGCATAGCTAAGCCGCTAGCTATCCAAAAACTCAAACCCACGCTTTGTATCCAAAAGAAATACGTCCAACCCATGTCCCTGCCATGGCCATCGTAAACAGGTAAATTTTTTAATAATGACCATCCCATTGCCTTTCTTATCTAAACTTCCTGTTTATTCATGTTATTTTAAGTTTTTCTTAATCCCTGTCTACACTACCATACTTTCATATCCACACTTCCTGTTTATTTTGTCATTTTACTATTTCTACACATTTAATCCCTGATTGCATAAACAATTATTCATCACACTCGTTTCTTATCCAAACATCCTGTATATTTTGTTATTTTTACATTTCTAACCCCCAATTGCACAATGTCAATTTTCTTAGTTATTATGCTACTTTGTCTGAGTTTTACCCATCCCCCTGTTTATTATGGCATTTTAATTCCTAATTGTAATTTTTATTAATTCAACCCCTAACCAGAAATTGTTCTGGAACTTCCCCATCCATTTGTTATATAGATTTGCTGAGATGTTATACAAACAGTCACTTTATCTGACTTATTTATTCCCTCTTCGGTCTCTATCCTCTGCAATAAAAAAAATTCTCCCTATTTTATACTCTATAAGTTTGGTAATGTATTCGGTGGATTCTTAAAACTTCATCTACCACTTATATCCTACCAGTTGATCACGGATTGATATCAACCAGTTAGAGAAGCATTGAAAACCAGCCACAGGGAGTACTGGACAGCCAGATGTTTCATCAGCCTAGTTCGGGAATTATTGACAGTACGCACCCACCACAGCGGGTTCGAACCCAGGAGCTTCCGGTTACAAGGCAAGCTCCTAAACCATTCAGCCACTGGAATCCATAGGCGCGTACAGCCGATGATTCCCAAACTAGGCTGATGAAACAGCTGTCCAGTACTCCCTGGTTTTCAGTGGTTCTCTAACTGATATCAATCCGTGATCAACTCTTAAAAAGAAAAAAATCTAACCCCTACAAACCAAACTATAGAAAATTAATTTGATGCTCGCTAGTGACTTGCTACAGGAAGGAGTTTCCTGGAGTCAGTACTAGTGTGAATTATTGACCAGTGAGGTCCATCCAGATGTCATGTGTGAGGATGGATGTCCCACTGACGATATTGGTTGGTACCAGTCGCGCTAAGTGCCTCACGAATTGGTAGAAGTTAGAATTCATGCACTGGCCATTGAGGAATCGGGTCCAATTGAGTGACTGAATGGTATACGAGTCAGCTTGCCTTGTAACCGGAAGGTCCTGGGTTCAAACCCGCTGTGGTGGGTCCGTACTGCCGATGGTTCCCAAATTAGGCTGATGAAACAGCTGTCCAGTACTCCCTGTGGTTGGTTTTCAATGCTTCTCTAACTGATATCAATCCGTGATCAACTCGTTAAGACATAACTAAACATAATAAACCAAATTATAGAGAACTTATCTATCTTACCTTCGTCATTGGGCATTGAAAACGCCATAATGAAATAGTATGAGGATTTTGGGGATTAACATCTTCGACTTTGGCGAAGTCACTTGTTCTGCCTGAACCACCTCCCTGAGAACCAGAAATTGTAGGATTAACACTTCCCAGACTTGTTGTTGTCGTAAATGCCTGAGGCTGAGTTTTTGCCTGGGGTCCACCGTGCCCAGCTGAATTCTCATCCACTGTTTGAGCTGCACTAATCGCTGGAATGTGAGCCATGGTACTGGGCGGGTCTGTATCAGGTTGTTCCGGTGAATCTTGAGACTGATCTGTATTGAAAACATTTTAAAGTAATTGTTTAAAAAATAAGGTGTGGTCATTTTTATAGCGGTAATATTGTGATGAGAGCCGTCTGCTAGTGAAAATTGGTAGACAGTAAAAACTATATCAATGTTTGTGTCCCCAATATTGGTCATGAGAAAACAAGGACAAGAACAAAGACTGACTGACTCAACAACCAATCACAGCACACTTTGTTTGCGTAGGTGGATACAATTAGCAGATAGATGATCTGACCTTCAAGAAATAGCCGCAAAGAGAAACAACCACCAATCAGAAGACTGTGTTTGTCTGCTTACAATAATCTATAATAATGTACATGAAAATCGATAAATATGTGTTGATTACCTTAATAAACGATCGGTTGCCTGGCCCTTCTCTTCTATTGTTATAATATTACGCTAATACGTATTACACTTATTTGTATCATTTTTCTAAAATCCTTATGACCTCGCAATTCACTCTAAGTCTTCGGTGTACCTTCAGTCACTTCCCATTACATCAGTATTAGTCTGTCGAACCGACATTAATTCAAAATAATTGAGCTAGCAAAGAATATCCTTTTCGATAAATTCCTCCTCCTCTGCCTCTACAATTATACGTATATATGCATGTTTATATACATAGAATATTCTAGATTAGTAGTCAGTAACAATATTAGTGTTTTTTAAATAATGTCGATTTGCAAAGTAAGATCACAATGGAATTACCATAGTCCCTGAAAGATGCTTAAATTGCAATCATAATAATAATAACGATAAAGATATAGTAGGAAATAGTATATCAACTAAAATTAGGAAAATTACACAAAAATTCAGGATCGATCATTCAAACCCAGATGGTCAAGCAGGTAAGGATAATGTCTGAACTGACCAACTTCCTCTTTTGGATGCACAAATCAGGCTTGTTAATATGGATCCCAACAGCCAGCCAGCCAGCCTCAGCAATATTTAGTAGTCGAACTGTTAAGGCGAAATTGAGATTTGTTAGTTGGTATTCGGTAAATGACCCTGAAAGCCGCCGCCTTGTTAACATCAATCAGTCTTGTTTTTTTGTATCCACAAGATGATGAGTGAGATAGAATAGCAGCGCTGTGAATAGATTTTGTTTGTCCTTTGCTTAACCAGGCAGGGTGATGTTCTGAGATTTGACGAGAAACACGCCTTATTGTATGGCCTATGCAATACTGCAATTTTCCTATTCACCATTCACGTTAAAAATGTTTTCAAAAGCTGTTTAGTAGTAGCGTGACACAGTTTTTGTGCATATGCAATAAGCTATAATGTTTCTCTGAAGCGAGGGAGCAGAAAAGGATACCACAAGGAACATCACTGTAATTACTGGACTGTTGTTGTATGGAGACATAGTTAGATTTTGATTGGACACTAGCAACTAGTGTCACACGTGTCTAGTCCTTTCGTTGTTTGGTGCGGACTGAATTATATCAGCCAGTCAATCAGTCAGGTTTGCAATATGGCCACCATTCTACTAGGTGGTTAGCTCACCATCCCAATGCACACATTGATTTGATGATATTAGATAGTTGGAGGCAATCGGCCAGAGGAAGTCTTGCCGGGAACTTGGGTTTGTGCTAGTTGGCACTCACCGGTCAGTCAGTCAGCAAGGCGTTTTTGTAACCACATTGAAGGAACAGCTCATGTCCCTTCTGAGGAGATTCGAACCCGCGTCACTCAGTGCTGCCTGCAGTCACAGACGTTACCACTGAGCTATTAGGGCTCGCGACTGACCTCCTGTAGGACTGTTGTGGGACTGCGGCACCGGGTGACGCGGGTTCGAATCTCAGAAGGGAAATGAGTTCCTTTAAGGTTATAGATACGCCTTGCTGATGAGTGCCAACAAGCAAGAAACCTAGGTCCAAGGATTCCTGCTGATTGCCTCTAACTATCTAATATCATATAGTTAGATTATTCCATATCATTGATAGCTGCGTCATATCACAGTCAACTCTGATTTGATAACGAGTGTTTGCGGCTCATGTATTCTGATTTTGATCCTCCGAGCTTTCGAAATCAATCTAGTTCTCACTGACTGGCTGAAATTTTCAACATGATGTTGAATTCACTCCGCCTTGAGAAAGCTGACATATTCGCCATGAAAATCTGATAAATACTTGATTATCGTGAAGTTAATGAATAATGCGCTTTGGTTGGTGTTTGAACCTACGGGCACTGAGTTCGAGCTTCACTGGCAATACATCCATCCAACTGACGAGTCGCATGAGAGACGAAACGAGCATCCTGGGTCCCGCTGCTAATCACCACACAGCATCTGATTTCAAAAAGTGAATTTTGGTTGACAACTTTTTGTTCTGTTCTTGTGTCTAAAAGAATTTCGTTTGTTTTTGTTGTATAGTGATTTTTTTTGCATATTTTCTAGCTCAAATGAGTGGAAGGTTTTATGACTGGTGTTGTGGTGAGTGCTACTTATAATCCGATATAAGTAGTATATCAGAAACGAATTCAGAAAAGTAACAATATGTTTTGCACACTGGAAAGAGCCATCAGAGAAGAGAACCATGAGAAGAATTTTGCCGTATGATGCAAAATCCAAGAAGCTATCGAATGTGACGATATTCGACCAATTCGTCAAGGATGTGGTAAATGATGTGCAAATGACAGTTTGAAAATATGGGATACGAAATTTACCTATGTACAATACGTTTCTCCTTTCAGCCTCCTCGGTATTTTCTTTATCTGCATAGCCGCCACCTGCTGTTTCAACTCTTCAATCTGGTCTTCGATCATCTTGGCACTCCGTCATCACTGGAGCACCATGCGTAGTCATTATCTGCCTCGTCATCTTCGCCATTTCATAAACATCCATTGGTTGAGCTGCGTTAACTAGCTGTAACTGATGAGCGATATTTGTCGGGACGCATTCAAGGAACTGAGATGCAAGCAACTGCTCCCGTGAATCTTCGTCCAGGGCGGGTAACTCGCGTCGCAGGTGATTCGTCTGCGTTACTGCTAGAACTAGCGGATCCCCATCCTAGCTAAGTCTGAGCGTCCGAAACTTCTGCAGCGCCTCTTGTCTGTCCGCAGGGCTGTCGAACTCGCACACGAGCCTCTCGACGACCTTGGCCCACGCCACCTCACCTTCCAGCAGCCTTCGCGCGGCCCCTCAGCAGAGTTCCCAAGACAACCAGCTTCGCCTTCTGCTCCTACACTCCAACCAGCTCCGCGACAGCTTCGAAGTCCCTGAGGAACGTCCGCACATCTCCCTCCTTGAATACCTGCGGCCACGGCACCTTCATCTCCGGCAGAAGCAGCGGCACCAAATGTGAAGAAAAAAAGACCGAGGAGGCTGAAAGGAGAAACGTATTGTACATAGGTAAATTTCGTATCCCATATTTTCAAACTGTCATTTGCACATCATTTACCACATCCTTGACGAATTGGTCGAATATCATCACATTCGATAGCTTCTTGGATTTTGTATCATATGGCAAAATTCTTCTCATGGTTCTCTTCTCTGATGGCTCTTTCCAGTGTGCAAAACATATTGTTACTTTTCTGAATTCGTTTCTGATATACTACTTATATCGGATTATAAGTAGCACTCACCACATTAGGACTGTCAATCTGTGTAGTATTGAATTCAGGAGAAACTCCTCTAGGTAGATGCGCAAAGTTTCTACCTGGCTTGAATCAATTATTTTTTTTATTCCTTTAAACTCTCAGCTGTTTGATTTTTGAGTTTTATACCTACCTAATTGACCTTGAATTTTTTACTTGTTCACTTTATTACAGCAGACGATCCTGTCTTCAAGTTTGTCATTTTTAATGTATGTACTAGGAGTTTTATGAAATGTTTCACAGGCCAAGTTAAACTTTAAGCACCACTAACTACCATCAATAAGCGAATGACCTCGAATGGACCATTGAGGATCATGCACATGAGTTCAAGATTGTATTCCGCTTGATTCGTATCAAATGCCTGCTCTAACGAAGTTACGTTTGCAGTTCGATAAGGATAAAGTTTTGCAATATTGACTGGATTTGGGATTGCTTAGGAAGGAGAGGATTTGTTCATTTGGATTGATGGATATCGGTCAGTCGGTCGGTTTTCCACATGGAACTTTGCACATATGTGCGGCAGTTCAAGTCGCCACACTCCATGTAGCATACAAAGCAAGAGAAGAAAGTAGAAGAAATGCATAATAGAGACAGTAAACAGAGGTGTGGTGAGACAAAGGAATAGTAATAACGAAGAACAAAACAGTTTCATTGGAAATCATAAGTCACAAGGAGTGGATGCATCTGCGCCACTGAGAACGATTTTGAGCCATGTCACCAATTGTTTCCAACCTTCATTGGTTTTTACCGTCCCGAGGACCCCAACCAGGAAGTCTACATCTTCCTACGTGGCTTAGACTAACTGTTGTAGATTTCATTGACTGGTGAAGCCATGTTTTGGTTTGACCGCCGCTAGCTCTTTTCCAGCCTGACCAATCCTATGTCAGGTAACATTTCCCATTGTCGAGGAAGGCGATGACTAGGCTACGCATACGTAACACATGTCCTAACCATTTCAGTCGATGTAGCTTCACAGTCTCATCGATTGATTTCCCGTTCTTACCTAGCACTCGACCGACGCCTAACCTCAATATTGCTCACCTTATTATACCACTTCACGCAGGAGATAGAACGCAGACACCTATGATCGAAGACAGCTAGCCAGGTTTTTCATGTCTTCCACTCTCAATGGCCAGGTCTCACAGCCAGCCATAAAGGAGGACGGAGCGGACTGTTGAGCAGTACACACGCCCTTTGGTCGATCGCCACTTAGCCAAATATCACGGCTACTAAGCCAGAGACGACGCAAACTCGCGGCGTAGGCGAAACTAGCCCTCTGTGTTTGTGCTGAGATTTCGTCTGAGATCAACCCGTTGGCACTGCCTGATGGTACTTCCCAAGAAATTGAAGCGGTCAACGTGCTCTACCACTTCACTTCCTATTTCTAATCTAGGGGTCGGTGTGGTCCAATCCTGCAACATCATCTTACATTTTACAGGGGCGAATCGCATGCCAAACATACGAAGATTGATGCTCAAGGTGTTCAGTAGACTCTGCTGGATTTTGTCAGCGTCCTCGCCTAGAAGGACTATATCGTACGCATATTCTTAGTCGACGAGATTATTCCCTCGTAGCAATTCAATCCCCGAGTCGCTGAAGTGTGTTAGGGTTAAGTCCATTAGTACGTCTATGATGAAGTTGAATAGGAATGGGGATAATGGGCATCCTTGACGGACGCCACTAGTCGTCACCACTTCAGATGACAACTCGCTGTAAGCCCTCACCTGGCTGCATGAGTGCTAGTAGATTGCCTTAATCAGTGCAATGAATTTCCCGGGATTCTCTTTACAGCCAAGCATCGACAGAGTACCTCTCGGTCGACAGAATCGAATTCCGCCTTTAGGTCAAGAAATATAATGATTGTTGGACGCCGGTAGGAATGCCTATGTTCTAGAATCTGTCAGAGGGTGAAGATATGATCAATACACCCTCTTCCTGGCCTAAAACCTGCCTGGTTTTCTCGTGTTTGTGCCTACCGAGCACCACTTAGTCTACGCAGTATTATTGAGCCTAGGATTTTAGATACTATATTAGTCAAGCTAATCCCTCTGTGATTATCACAAGAGGACTTGTCTCCCTTCTTGTATATCGGGATGATCAGTGATGACGATCAGTGGATATGTTCATCGTTGTTCGATTTGCTTAAGACGAGTTAGTTTGAGGGAAGGTAAGCAGATAATTTTAATATTTCCCAGGAACATTATTTGCTAGGTCGCATCTCTTCCTAACTCAGATTTTGTATATTTGAAATTAATGGATTTTAAAACAGCCTGTAACAGGCGCAGCTGCTGAGACTGAAAATAGCCTCGTGTCAACAGTTCAGTGGCAGCAGCACTGCAGAGATGGAAAACGGAGAGAATTAGTTCGTTGTTAGGCGGAGAAGGTGTCGTCATACACGCGGACGAATCTGTCTTATTGAAGAAAAAAATACATCTGTGGTAGTAAGCGAGCCAACAATGTTTGGGTTATCGGTTTATATGACAATGTCCTGCGGAAAGGATTCATGGAGAGAACACCAGACAGAAAGTCTACTACCTTAGTGTCTATTGTCACTCGACTGGTGAAACAGGGATCCATAGTGCATACTGATAAATGGAAAGGTTATAACTCGCTGTCATCTCTTGGATATATTCATGACAGAGTGAACCATTCCAGTGATTTTGTGGACCAATTACAGGGACACACACTAATTCTATATGCTTAACTGGAAGATGTTTCTGTCACATGTTAGAGAAAGATTAACCCCTATGCAACAGTTTCATGCAGCTTTTATTCTTTTCTTTTTCTCCATAAATATACGTTTTCCTTAATCGAAATTCCCTCTTATTCATGTGATTGGTTCGTTCAAGGTCATTCGCTGATTGGTAGTTAGTGTTGTTGCTTAAAGTTTAACTTTGCCGTTTCACAATAGTTAGTCCATCTACATTCGCCTGTTACTCAGATCTTATTTCATAATGTTTACAAACTACGAAGAAATTATGACTACACAAAATGTTGTCACTTAGCCTAGTGATGGAACATCCACGATCACACATCAAAGCTTAGAGAACATCAAAAACAATTCTCTTCTGCATGCTCAGTTACAAATCTTCTCTCAATTATTTGGCACATTGTGACAACTTTGCTGGTCGAAGAACTTCCACTAGAGAAAAAATATTTCTTCTACATGACTAGTTACTGCTTAAGGAAGGGAAAACAGAGATAATGAAGATTCCTGGACGAGAACAATAACAACAGACAATGATCAGCATAAATAGGAGGAACCTGAAAGAAACAACCTCATTTACTACCTACCTACCTGTGAAGCATCGTTTCAACTACAGGCGGACTCAAATGACGAGGATATCAAAGCAAGGACCATCGGAAAAGCAAGACAGGCTTTCACTATTCTCAAGTCTGTGTGGAGGGGGCCAACAGCACTACTCAGCATGAAAATAATGTAAATAAGATCCGAATTTTCAACTCCAATGTGAAGTCAGTCAGTGCCACTTGCTATACGGATCAGAGACCTGCACTGAGCGCCATAAAGAGCATCTCAAACAAACTACATACCTTCATTAACAGTTGTCTTCGCTCAATAATCAAGATCAGATGGCCAGAAAAGATCAGCAACAAAGATCTCTGGGAGCGAAGCCAACACAACAGGAACCGATTGTGCAACAAATAGGCAGAAAAAAATGGAGGTACATTGGCTGGCCATACTCTGACGAAACAAAACATCAAGTGAGTGACATCACTAGACAAGCCATTGCTCGAGTGGAACCCGAAAGGGAAGCGGCGAGTTGGTCGTCAGTGCAAGGGTGAGGGTGACTTGCCGGAGTTCATGTGAAGAGGAGATGATGAGAGCGTGTGGGCAGACTTGGAGCCAGGTACAGACTCTAGCAGAGAACCGAACGCAATGGAGACGTGCGCGGCTGAAGAAGCCCTATGTTCCTCTAGGAATTAAAGGAAATAATAATAATATGAATAATAATAGTAATAATACAAACCCCATCCCAGAGACTAACTGTTGCTCATTCAGATAAATTCACATCACCAATTGTGTCTGAATAACTACTTCAAGGTGTTGTACGCACAGTATGATTTGAGTTTGAAACTAAAATTTGTCGAATCTCGGCTGTCTCCTTTTTACTTCATCACGTAAACACCTGTTTTCAATTGTTTCCTTCTCCCAAGCTTCTACTAGAACTAGAATATGTGAAAGGAAAGTTGAGTACTTGGATTTTCGGTGCAGAGTTGTAATCACAATTAGGTCACTAGTACACGTGAAACAGGTGACTGCTGTTCCACAGTCAAGGTGGCTGTACACCTTGATTTGAAAATTTCACTGACACATTCACAGATTATTGCAAATTAAACTGTGTGATTAAGTAAAGTTAACAAAGTACTGAGTGGAAATTGAAATTGCACCTTTCTGAGGATCAATATTACGCACTTTTTAATTTTATGTTGCTTTTTACTTATAATTAGTGCAAGATGGGAAGTTAAACACATTAGTGTTTACAGGAAACCCACACATTCAAACAGATATTCGGACTTCCGATCATCCCATCCTATGTCAGTAAAAATAGGATTGGTGAAATACTTAAGCGACAAAGCAAAAAACTAAGTAGTACCAAGGAAAATCTAAGACAGGAAGTGAAACATATAAGAGAAGCCTTGAAACTTAACAAATACCCTGATAAATTAGTCAGGAAATATGTTGGGATATGTAAAAATAAAATAAATAATGACAGTAGTGATGGTGATAATAATGGTAATATTAATGATGACATGCATGTCAAACTTGCGCAAGACAACACCGACAATAAGGAATCTAAATCACCAGTAGTAGTTCCATACAAGGAGGGAACCTCGGAAACCTTACAGCGGGCAGGAATAAAAGTGGCTGGAATTCCAACCAACCACAAACTCACTTAGAAACAAGCTTTGTCGGTTAAAGGACCAATCCTGTGGAGCCAACAAAACAAAATTTAGTTTATCTAATACCCTGCCTGAGATGATTATCAGGTCAAATACATAGATGGGTCAAAGTAGTAGAACAGGGTCAGTGAGTCAGACTAGCCGAGCATAAACACCGAGAAGCAAAATCTAGATTGGTTGACCCGAATAAGATAAGAAATCTAGAGAATAGTTGAGCAGCTATCACAAGCACTACATGCAATTACACACAACCATACAACAGAATGGAATAGGATAGGATGACAGTTTCAAAATCTAATGCCACAGGGTGGTTGAAGGGAGAGATAGATAACAACGGAAGCTTTGTTTATCGAATCAACTGAAGAGAGTACGTGTAATAGGAATGATTCAACACCTATCCAGCCAGATATCTAGAAAATTCTACTCCCACGCCTACGACGGAAAATAGGAGAGGACAAAGAAAACTACTAGTGTCCTATCAAAGTATATGTGTACTTCATTAAAAGTTTTTATACAATAATTAGTGCAATATATATTCAACATCAACTTACGTTTACTTAATACTAAACTTTGATACTTTAATAGTTTATCATAGTATGTATTCAGATTTAAAGCACGTTCCATATGATTCAAACCTTTCTTCAGTTTTGCAGTCTGAAAGAGAGAGAGAGAGAGAGTAGGAAAAAATTTCGATTATGTAATTTAGAAGATATACTGGTTGAATAATTTCACAAAGAGTGCTCTTCCCGACAACTTCATCATCATCAGGCTCTACAGTTATATATCCATCCATTATAGTGAATGAAGGAATGAATGAATGAATTAGTGTTATGAACAACAACATTAATGTTGCTGTTTAAATAACATCGAATCAATAATAATAATAATACCAATGGATTACAGTTCAATTGCATCACCACAACAATACACACTGAATGTCAGTTGAATTAGGAAAGATAATATTGCAAATTCACGAATTTATAGTCTCCACCCACTGAAGGCCGGTCAGGGAAGTAGTAGTGGCTAGCTGGCTGGACTTGCTTCTTCTCCACACACACACAGCACTCACTGGTTGTTTGAGGCGAATTGCAATAGCATTGGTGTTTGGAGCATGCAGTGCTTCAATGATGATTTTGTCAATTTATTAGGCACCCGGTAGATGGTGATAGAGAAGGATTCTTCAATGCTGGCTTGCTAGCTGTGTGGCCGGCCGGTTTGCACCAGATGGTCCAATATCGAACTGTTGATGATGGCTTCCACTACACCTTTACTTAGACATACTGGGAGATGTTCTCGAGTGAGCGAGCACGAAAAATCAAGTTCCTAGAGCAACAACAGCCGATATAACTTGCTTCAATACAAACGCAGTTGCAGTTGAATTGGTAGATACAATTTCAAGTGGTCAGCTAGTCTAGGTACTTCATCTTTCAGTCGTGTAGAGAACAAGACGTGTAGTTCGCCGCCAGCAATAAAAGTTCTTTGAACTGATTTTCTTAATTTCCTCATAATTATCTCACTTGGTATATCGATCGCCCTTGAATTGCAGTCGTATATAAAGTGGCTTCTTGTTTACGGATGTATGGTGAGTAGTCCTTTTCCGCCGCTTTCTTTGTCATGTGTTTCTTGATAGCTATTTGTCGGGATAGCTATTTTCGATCAATCAAAGTATCATATACAATGCTTCTTAATTCATCTTCAATTACTTCTTCTGGGTATATAGCTCTAACTAACTCTGTGGCCGAGTGAGGGTCTTTACTAAATTTCTTTTGTACTTGATAGGTATGAAGCTGTGAAAATGTGTTTATATTGTCCTGTCCAAGTACTTTTGTCGATGCAAATTTCTTTTTATGCCACTATCTTGTTTTTGTTGTAAAAGGAGGACATCCAGGAAGGCATTTCAGGAAAAAAAACTTCGCCAGTGGAATAGTTTGAATTCCTAATATTCAGAGAGTTTTATGTCAATGAACTCCATTAGTAATAAGCGCGTAGGACGATGATACATGACAGGAAAAATAATGCGAAAGGAGTCTGAATGATAAAAATTGTAACGACAGAAGACAAGGGCCAGGCAACTAACAGATCGTTTATTGAGAAAATCAAGAGATATTTATAGATTTTTATGTACATTAATAATATTATTATTAGCGCTATTGTTAGCAGAGAAGTTGCAACGTCTTCTGATTGGTTGTTTTCTTGCTGAAGGTTATTCTGAACTGTTTGTGACCGTTGCTTACAAAGTTAAGCCATATATCTGCGAATCGTATTTGCACACGCTAAATCTGCTGTGATTGGTTGTTGATTTCCTCAAGGTTAGGCTTTGACCCGATATGGGACGTAAACATTGATGTAAATTGCTGTCTACCGATTTTTTGTCTAGCAGACCGCTCTCACCACACAATAACTGAAGGTATGTGCGATAGACACAACAGGGAAAGTAATGATGAAAAATAGCTAGTTCTTCCATATTTTCCAACTTCAACCAGAATGTATTATAGAGGCAAAATAAGATAAGAGAGAATGGTACATACATTTTTTGATGGACAGTCAGATATCACAGCTGCATCAAAAAAAGGGAAAAAGAAAGGCGGTCCATAAGCCATTATTCACTGTTAATCGGCATACATACCAATTTTCATTGCATGGAGGATTTCATCATGAGTTAACATCAGTTGGAGAATCATTGGAAAACCTGCAGGAAGTACTGAACAGCTGTCTCGTCAACCTAGTTTGGGACTCTTCATCAGTATGCACTCACCGTCAATGTTCAACCCAGGACCTTCTGGTTACAAGGCGAGTTAGCTCGTAGACCATTGAGCCACTGGGAGCCGATCCAATGGCCAGCCAGTGCATGAATTCTAACTTCTGCCAATTCACGCACGACATAGCGCGACCATTTCGCAATGTCTTCTTCGATGAGTGAGTTACTGCCTCATCTTCAACCTGCTGCTGTACCCTACTGGTCACGGCTTCACACTATAACCCCAGGTCACTGCTTGAAGCGAGGCGATCGCTAGTGAGCATCAGATTAATTAATTTTCAAGTATTGGTTTTGTAGAGATTTGTGTTTGATTGGATGGAGGATTTCATCATGAGCTGACATCAGTTGGAGAACCAGTGGAAAACCAACCAGGGAGTAATGGGCAGCTCATGATGAAATCCTCCAACGCAATCAAATTGATTCCTTCCACAAAAGCAATACTTGAAAATACTAATTTCGCACCATTAATGCACAAAAGCATGATGAGATCGAAGCAAAATTAGAGTAAATACCAGTTTCTACCGTGTGTGGCAAACTGACCAACCTAAAATCCACGTATGAGCAAATTAACCTATGAATTTGTGACAATTTATGAATCCAAATTTTCTGTAAAGCTTGGTTGTTTGAAGCGCACTGTACTACAATCGAAGAACAGTCCACATACTCTTCTGCTGATGAATTCGTTGTATTAGATTGATTTCAATTTAATATCGTAAACGTGTGAGTCCGTTATGGATAAGATTTTATTTTGATAAAGTGTCACACAGTGTGTGTAGTGTTATACAGTAAGTAATATTAACTGATGGCTGACCACACGCTTCGAGCACAATTTATTATTGCCACTCATAATCATCATGTCAAGTCACTCACTCACTCACACAACATTTTCCCTTCATTTATATACATGTGTGGAATTGATGATTAGACATTTGAATAAAAATCAGTAATATGGGATAATGTACATTCAGAAATAATAATAATAATATGAGTGTTATTCATCAATTACAATCAGATGGGAAATGAGACGAGTGCTTTTATAGTCAAAATAGGTAACTGACTTGTTAGAATTGAATTAAAATAGAATACAATTTAAGATTATTTATTATCCTCCTCTGATTTGACTGACTGGTGGTAATAATATCTTCCATATCTCTGGTATTTTCATTGAGTCACTTCTGTTGCATGTGTTGGGTGTAGACTCGATGAACCAGACAGGATTCGGTAATCAATCTCTCTCTCCACCTACATAGATTACTTTTTAGAATTTTAACCCTCTCCCACCCACCATGCTGTTGTGTGGTTGTGTGTTAATGCATGCAGTGAAGTGTAGTGCTCAGTGCTTTTTTCTAAATTACTTATCTTCTCGGGTGGGTCAACCATTCTTACCTTAGCTAAATTCTTATGTTCCGACAATTTGATTACCCCCGACCTACTAGTTTGACCTATGTAGTTGACCTAACTCACAGTCATTGCAGGGTATTTTGTAAATTATGTTATTTTGTCTAATAGGGTCAACCGTCAGGGTCTTTTAGCCTACAGAGCTTGTCCTACCTGAGTCAGTTTGTAGGTTTAAATGCCACCACCCTAATTCCTGCTTTGTTATTAAGAATCCTTCGTAGAGAGTGTCTCAGATGTCCCCTCCTTATGTGGTATAACTACTGTGGATGACTTATTCTATTCTCTCCTATTTATGTTATCAATATTAGTCTCACCATTATTTTTATTTCGCTTTTGGCCCCTACTGATCTTCCTAATGAATTTTATAGGATAGTTAGTTAGTTATTTGACACCAACGCTTCTTCTTCTGTCTGTTTTATTTCATCATTTAGGCCTTTTCTTGTACTACTTAGTGCTACTGCTTGGTTTTTGTTAAACACTTAACTTAACTAAGCCTGCCTTAACAGTTAACGAATGAGGTGATGAATTAAAGTCTAAATATCTATTAGCAGAATGCGTTGGTTTCTTATAAACACTAGAATGCAGTTTACCTTCTTCTATTCGTTTTATTTTACAATCTAACATCATAACAGCTAATTGTCCTTGTTCATTTTCCGATTCAAATGTGACTTGATGAACCAGGCAGGATTCAGTAATCAATCTCTCTCTCCACCTACATAGATCACTTCTTAGAATCTAAACCCTCTCCCACTTTATTTCACTGCATGCATTAACACACAACCACAGAATAACACTCATATTATTATATTATTATTTCTGAATGTACATTATCCCATATTACTGATTTTTATTCAAATATCTAATCATCAATTCCACACATGTATATAAATGAAGGGAAAATGTTGTGTGAGTGAGTGAGTGACATGACATGATGATTATGAGTGGCAATAATAAACTGTGCTCGAAGCGTGTGGTCGCATCAGTTAATATTACTTACTGTATAACACTACACACACTATGAGTGACACTTTATCAAAATAAAATCGTATCCATAATGGAGTAGTTTTACACTACTCTACTCTACTCTACCACAGTGCCCAAGTTTTATACTTATATCAATAAACGTGTGAGTGTTGAACTCCAAATAAGTTGAAGAAAAACGTAAACGTTATTTTTTTTACTGTTCTTTTTTTTCTCCGCCTACCAAATGGGTACACTGCCGAGCTTTTATGCAGTCAGTATGTCATCTAATATTTTTCTGTGTAATGATTCAGGTTGCAACACATCGTATCTACAAATGAAACTTTCAGAAATACCTTGACATTACCAGTAATCAGAGTGAATGAACTTTCATTACCTGAATTAGCTATCTGTTTCATTGAACACCTTGAATTAAAGTGCATAAAGTGCATCATAGTTTCATATTACAACAGTTAGTGAGAACAATATCCTGAGATTTTAATATTACATAGTGACAATTAGACACTGGGTTATTCGCTTTTTAATTAGATTCTCTTCTCTGGCTCTACTCTAATATATGTAGCATTTTTTACAATACACCACAGTTTACCAAACAAGTGGCACTGATATGTTTGTTAACCATAATTAAACAGTGTCAAAATGTCAATGGGTTGATAATTAACGAAGAAAATCAATGCACACGCACAATCAGAAAGGTAGAAATGGTTAGAATAAATTAATTTTACAAGGATAACACGTAATTAAAGATGAAGTGGTCAAAATAAGAATAAAATAATTTGGACAATTATAATTTAATAGGTTTGGGGGGAGGGGGGTGACGTAGTCCTGTTTATGCATTCTTGCAACGATGGCCAAGGTAAAGAAAATGGCTGTACAAATTTCTTCTGTACACATAGGCTTGGCTTCTTCTGGTGGATTCCGATTGCTTCATCTGTCGTATGTAGAAGACGAACTCGTAGAGCAAAATTAAGATTAGTAGGAATGCGATAAATAATTTTAAATGCAGTATTCACATCAACCTTATGCTCCGTATCAACAAGGTGTGCTAAAATAGAACTACGAATAGATCTTGTTTGTCCCTTGCTGCTTAACCATGCTGGATGATGTTCGGAAATACGAAGATGAAACTGCCTAATTGTACGCCCCCGATGTAGCTGGCTCCGCAGCTGCAGTCAAACTGGTAGATATACACAGAAGAGACAAAATTAGGTAGTCTATCCTTATTCCTCGAACATAGAATAGGGGTGGTTTTGAAGAGACAACGTACCTCTGCTGCATAATAAGCTCTTTTAACTGCATTCTTCAGGTGTTCGCTGTGTTACTATTTCGCTAATGTTGTCACCGAGGAACTGCAATTTTATGAACATTGGTTTTTTCGAAACTGTAGCAATACTGACTCTCCCTGGTGCTGAATTCATATTCTTCTCAATAAATTTATCTGGATAACCATTTTTTTCTAAGTAATTCTTTAATAATCTTAAGCTCCTCATTGAGGCAGTCGTCTGAACAGATTAACCTGGCTTTGTGAACCAGACACTTTACCAGGTTACACGTTTATATTTCAAAGGTACAAAATTCAAAAATGAGTGTACTGACCTGTTGTTGTATGGTTTCCTATACACACACTCCTTCTTAGTGTGCCATCATCTTTCCTTACCATGAAGAAGTCTAGGAATGAGATACTGTCATTAATTTTTTTCTCTCTATGGTAAAGTTTATTGAGATACATTCCTAGACACTGTTTAATTATTGTTAACAAACATATCACCAGTTGTTTGGTAAACTGTTGTGTATTGTAATAAAAATGCTATACATGTATATATTAGAGTAGAGCCAGAGTGAGATGAGGATCTAATTGAAAAGTGAATATTTCTTCGCTCAATCTTTCTGTTTTCCAAATGTCTAAATGGGGATATTTTCTATACTGGGTTATTCATTTACATGACTATGTATGAAAACAGTTCAGTATTCTCTACATACACCTACAGTCATTATTTATTATTATTATTGTTTCCTTTAGTTCCTAGAGGGACATACAGCTTCAAATGCATGTCTTCATTGCCTTCAGTTCTTCGCCAACGTTTCCATCTACCTCAATGTCTAACCACACACTTCCATCTCCTCTTCACATGAACTCCTCCCACATGTTACACTCATGCTGACGACCAACTCGTCACTTCCCATTCGGCTTCCGCTCGAGAGACGGAGAGAGAGAGAGCGTGGCAAATGCGATCCAACTCCATTTCTTCCTGCATATTTGTTGCACATTTGGTTCCTGCTGGGTTGGTACGCTCATTGCCAGGCATCCCTCGCTGTTGCCATCTGATCTTCAGCGAGCGAAATATTGAGCGAAGACATCTGTTGATGAAAGTCTGTAGTTTGTTCGAAGTGCCCTTCATGACATGGCGCCAAGTCTCCTATCCGTCGTATAGTAGCATTGATTTCACATTGGAGTTGAAAATCCTCATTGTAATTTTCACGCTGAGTGCCGTTCATCTCCACACAGACTCGAGAGTGATAAAAGTTTGCCTTGCTATCCCGATCCTCGCTTTGATATTCTCATCAGTTCCGTCCTCCTATAGTTGAAACGATGCTTCGCAGGTAGCTAGTGGGTAGGTGGGTAGGTGAAGGAGGTTGCTTCTTTCACATTCACATTTCTCCCGTTTATGCCAGCTGATTGTTGTCTGTTGCAGTTGGTGTTGCTGCTTTTGGCCAGGAATCTTAATCGCCTACCTGTGTTTTCTCTCTGTTCACCTGAAGGAAGTGCTATTTTCTCTGGGTGCTTCTTCTGTCAACTTGTTTCTTTTCACTTGTAGATCTTCCAGTTTGTGAGAAATCAGACATATATCATCGGTGAAGTCCAGATCCTTCAAGTTCTTTTTCCGTGTTGTTCCATTTTATGCCTGTCTCCTTGGTGACCGGCCCGCTGTCTGTAGCATTATCCAGTCTACCGGAATCAGGAAAATCACTGGAGATACTAGGCAGACAGCCAGCCAGCTAGCCTTGTCTTACTCCCGTCTTCACTTCGAAGGATCCCATGAGTTTCCCTTAGCGGATGACTCGGAATGCAGCATTATCGTAGAACTGCTGGATAAGGTGTATAATTGTTGGTGGCACCTCGTAGTGGCGAAGTAGTTTCCAAATCACCTCTCGATCGACGCTGCGCTATCGAACGCCTTTTCAAAGTCAATGAAGTTGAGCGAGGTAGAGAGCTGACTGCCATTTCATTCTCTGTTCAATGATGATCTGTAGCGTTGCGATTTGATCGATGCATGACTTGTTCCTCGTGAATCCAGCCAGTTCCGGTCCAAGTTTTTTTTCTCTCCAAGTTAATTTGGCCTAGTATTTTTCTTGAGATAGACAGGGGTAACCTTTCTTCCAATCCTCGGGTACCTTGCTCTCTTTCCACACTTTCTTTAGCAATGGTGTCATCAAGTCTACTGATGTCTCCGGGTCCATTTTCAATGCTTCTGCTAGGATTCCGGCAAACTTCCGATCCTCCAAGTTCTTTTTTCGTGTTGGTCCAGTGACTACAATTAACCAGACGACAATGCGAAGAATTTTTTTGAAAAAGTACTAACCTCAATCAACCCCAATGCACTGGTGACTGGATTTATGTGACTATCCATATTAACACGGAAGCCCATGAGATCCGATTCAGAATTGGAACCCATTGTATCTTCTAGAAGAAAAAAAATATTTTAAAAATAGGGAAAATGAGTATTACTTATGGAAGTATTAGTGTGAAAGGGTAAAAAAATACTTTTACAATATTCCTTGGGTGGGTGGGGGGGGGTGACGGGATGAATCAAAACATTAATGATAAGCCTAAACAAGATTCTATAATTATTTTAGGCTCTTTTATTTCCTAGGAATTAAATCAAAATTCACTGTAAAAACTGTCGATATCCTTCCTAATGTTACAAATCATATAGACAGCAAACTAGGATGAAACAGCAGCTGTCCAGTACTCCCTGGTTTTCAATGGTTCTCTAACTGATATCAATCCGTGATCAACTCTTAAAAAGAAAAAAACTAACCCCTACAAACCAAACTATAGAAAATTAATCTGATGCTCGCTAGTTACTTGCTACAGGATGGAGTTTCCTGGAGTTCTAGTGAGAAGTCGTGATCAGTGAGGTCCAATAAGATGTCACGTGTGAGGATGGATGTCCCACCAACGACAATGGTTGGGGTCGCGTTAAATCACGAATTGGTAGAAGTTAGAATTCATGAGCCAATGAATGAGGTCCCAGTGGCTGAATGGTTTACGAGCTTGCCTTGTAACCGGAAGGTCCTGGGTTCGAATCCCAGTGGGTGTGTACTGCTGATGATTCCAAAAAAAACTAGGATGAAACAGCAGCTGTCCAGTACTCCCCTCTGGTTTTCCAGTGGTTCTCTAACTGATATCAATCCGTGATCAACTCGTAAAAATATAGACAACAATTTTAATGGTTTTAATACCCTTGATATGCTTAAATGTCGCCGGTCTCTTAAGCCTTCCTAAAGCCTTGTTCCTGATGGTGTACCTGTCCTTGTCCTCAGAAACTGTGCTGATATTTTATGTTCCCCTCTTACTAACATTTTTAATGCTTCCTTTTCCAGTAATGTTCTACCTTTTGCATGTAAGAACATTAAAATTATCCCCATACATACCAAAACCATCTTCTGATACTGATATTATATTTAGGCCTATTGCAATTACTTCTCCTTTTATAAAATTGATGGAAAAATTACTTTTACATCGCATTGAACCTTCATTGAAACCTTTCAATGATACTAAACAATTTGGATGCTGCGGTTGTCTTTTATCACATTGTTGTTTCTTGTTTGGACAAAACTGCCAAATATGTTCGTGGTGCTTTCCTAGACTACACAGCTGCTTTTGACTCTGTACCTAGAAGCCTTTTATTAAATAAGCTTGCAGACAAACACGAAATAAGCTTTCGTTAATGCAAACACGATCCTGGGCTAAGAGTTGGTGATAGAATGCAGTATACTGTATATAATGGCAAATCTTCTTCTGCCTTGCTTACAAAAGCCGGTGTTCCTCAACGTGCCGTCCTCTCTCTTTTTCTTTTTTATTTCTTCCTACATGACCTACCTCATTTAGACGAAACTAACTTTGTCAAATATGCGGATGATCTGACTGCATCACTGCCTGTCACTTTCGAGTCTGACTGCTCTACACCTAATAGCTTTCTGTTGGACATCAGCAAGTGGTCTAAGTCAAATGGTCTTATGTTAAATGTCAGCCAGTTAACTTAACTGTCAAGCATCGAAGTGACGTACAACATGAACTAGTTAGTTCCCATGATGCCTGTGGCATACATAGATGGCACTGAAATCGAAACCAAGTCAAGCATTAAATACCTTGGATTAGTTCTTTTCTCTCACCTTTTATGGTCATCCCACATTTTATCAATCTCTAAGAAAATGTTTCGTCCTACCTTCGACATTAAAAAAATTTAATACAATCAGGTATCAACCAACCTTTACTTATGCAGTTTGTAAACTCCTGTATTTTACCTATTGTACTCTATTGCTCTCCATTAATCTTTCCAGGGCTTGTCAAAAAAAGACTATATGATATATTACGAAGGGTATTAAATGCTGTGAGTAGGGCTTGTGGTATGCCACTGTGTGAGCTCGCCACGCCAATATTATAGTCGAGAGACATATAAAATCCTGTATGAAATGGGCAAAGGACGTACTGTCAGACCCCTTGCACCGCCCCCCCTCTTTATTCACAACTATCCCCTTGCATCTCATCAGATAGGACGAGAAGTCAATAATATAAGAAGAAGTTATATACTCGAACAACTAAGTACAAAAATTCTACAATACCCACCCTATTTCTCCGTATTTAATGTGATGGAGACACTCACTGTTAGACGTGAAACATATAAGAAGTTACTATGTAATTAGCAAAGTGAATCGACCCTTTCATCGTTCGTTCATCTCTCTGTAATTTTATTGTGTCAGTAGCCCATATTTTCCGACGGCTTGGCCACCAATAAATGTCATTCATCAGTAACACACTTTCCCCATCAAAGTAATTGGCATTCCACGGGGCAAAAGTTCTCATCAGAACATCAAGAAATACACTTTACAGTCAGTTACTAGTGTGAGGTGTATGTTTATTGAATTACAGGGTTCTACGTAAGCCAAACAGTTACCACCTTCATACTGGGTGTTTCAATGTTAACAGATTAGTGGTGTATCTCCCAGTATCCAGTTTATTTCGGAATCAGGCAGAATCAGACGTCGGTGAACTACTATTTCTTGACTGCCTAGTTAACTCGATTTCCTGGATATTACTATGACTAGGAGAGATGATGGAACGATTCAGCGATCTATTTTTCTTAAACAGACATGGAGTGGACAATATCTTCATTTTTCCAGTTTTGTTCCTATCCAGTATAAACGTCCCCTTGTGAAATGTTTGTTCTCAAGGGCCCGAAAAATATGCACGAGTGACATATTGATGGATGAGTTTCGAAATATACATTCATTTTTATTAGCTAATGGTTATCCCGAAAACTTTGTCACTTGTCACAGTAAAGAAAGATCACACATCTTGAAAAGACAGCTTTTGTACCAAAGAAAGCTATCTGTCTTTATATTAACCTACCATTCAAGGGTGACTAGATTATGCAGTTGTGACAGCTAGCTCAAAGACTTCGGTCAGCCATCAAACGCACATTCTACGCCATCGCATCTCTTTTTCTCACATGCCGAACATTTTCGAACCCCCTGTACCTACGATTAAAGGACGACATTCTGTGGACTCTACTTCAAACTGTATCTACAAGTTCACCTGCAGTTGTTGCGGTGACACACACCTATATAAGTAGAACCAATAGAATGTTCCAATGTCGTGGTCGAAAAGAACATGTTCCAAAATGGTTACTAAATCATATAGAAAATCCCACCAATGCATTCATTAATCTGAATAGAAATCCAGCATCATCCATTGCAAAACACTTATTAATGTCAGGTCACAAAATCAATCAATTTTAATTCATGACTGTTTCACAATTATTTCATCACATAACTCCAATTCAAGGTTGGTTATTGAATGAGTGATGGAAGCACTCTTCGGGGATTGGTCACATACAGCCTAAACTTAAACAGAATAGATTCAATCTTCGCCTACCATGGACAACATGACCTATTGAAACATGATTGGTCATTAGTATGTACTTTTGCTTTTTTATGTATATTATTGAGTAATTGTCATGAACTTTATTTTATTATTGTTAACCATGTTAGTTGTAAAGCGGTTGTAAAGAAACTACGAAATGAAGATATCATCTCACGAAATTTGTCTTCTTAATGTCTTATTCAAAGATGATCAAGTTGGTAAACTTTGTTTTGATACCAGCCAGTGCAGATGTACTATTACATCTGTTATTTGGTTTAGCTATTCATCTCCATTGTTATTTTAACTTTCAATATGTCCTCCTTTTAACCTGACCTAAGCAGTCAAGTCTATTTTCTCACCCACCTCTTAACTCTTTATTATATATGTATGCTGAGTGGATTTTGTAAATTCTTCTGGTTTAATAATACTGCTTTGATAAAGCTATTAGCAGCAGCAGCATTAAATAGCGGAAAGTCAGTAAAAACGACAATATGGTCAGAAGTCTTACAGGTCGTACTCCATGGGAGACACAGAACTGTCAGATGTCAGGGAACAAAAGGACTTATGAATTATTGTTAGCCATGACTTAAAAACAACAGCAAACTGTAATCGAGCCGCAGCTAAGGCTTTTCGAATGTTATGAGCACTTCGAAGGGCTTTCAAACGATTAGACGAGGGTATGTTCCAAGTACTCTATGCAATATATATGTCAGCAGGCCTCATCTAGAGTACTGCATACAAGCGGCGAGTCCATGCTTCAAAAAGGAGGCACATATCCCGGAAAGAGTACAGAGGGTAGGAATGAAATTAGTTAGTGATATCTCACACCTTCCTTATGGCATGAGGATGGAGCATTTAAATGTCTTCCCATCATCATACCGAAGGAGGAGGAGAGGCGACCTAATTTTGGCTTACCGTATATTCAAGGGTGATTTAGGGATTGACCTTTCAAACCTTTTCTCTCTCTCTAGGATACATTTACGGGGTCACAAGAAGAAGGTGCTCAAACCAAGGTCGAATAAAATACTGGCTGGCTGGCTGGATTCAACATAGAACTTAGCACCGAAGTACAGCAGTTCGAGTTGCCACGTTCCAAATAGCACACAAAGGTAGACAAGAAAATGAGTGAAGAAAATCAATAGAGTTTTGACAAGTATAAGAGTGAAACAGAATGAGTAATGGTAGAAAGGAATATGAAAGATTACACAAGAGACTGTATACATCTGCGTAAGCCATTGACAACGATTTTGAACCATGTCACCTATTGTCTGTCTCCAGCCATTGATTCTTAGAGTCCCGAGGGCGGGCCCCAACCCGGAAGTCTGCATCTCCCTACCTGACTCAGTTTAACTGCCAAGGATTTCACGGATTGATGAGGCCATGTTTTTGTTTGGCATGGCGCCACTCACTCTTTTCCAACCTGCACCTATATCAGCTAGTAATGCCCGTCGGGAGGGGGAGGCGATGGTTAGGCATGCGCAGCACGTGACCTAGCCATCTCAATCTATGTAACTTTATAGCCTCTTCGATTGATTTTCCCTCTTTGCCCAACACTCTACTCCTAACGTCAACATTACTTATCGTATTATGCCACCTAACATGAGAAAGAGATCGTAGACATTTATGATCAAAAACAGTCAACCTCTTCATGTCTTCAACTCGTATTGATTGGCCATGTTTCAGAGCCAGCCATAGAGAAGGACGGAGCGAACTGCTGAGCAGTACACACGTCCCTTGGGGTTTAGATTCTCTCACAGATTGGTGGTCAACGACTGGAACTCCTTACCTGTGATTCAGTGTAGTAACAGCTCCATCGGTGAACACATTTTCAAAGAGAAACTGGATCTCTGCAGATATATATTATATATCGCGAGGATTAACATAGGCAACAAGAGCCGCCTTCTATCCTTATAATCTGAATATGAATTTTGAATCTGGTTTTGTTTTCCATTCTTCATTCATTCATTGGGAAATTAAAAAAGAAAAACCTTTATTATAAGGCTTACTTGTAGTTGTTGACTGACCCAGCTGAGATGATTCAACCCCGAGGCTAACTTCATTATTGCCTAGAATTACGTCATCATCACCACCAGTAGTTTGCCGCATATTTTCTATTGGTCCACCATCGTCAGGTTGTAATTGATTATTTTTCTTGATGCTCTGTTTCATTACCACGTCATCATGACTAGGTGTGTTGGCAACTGTGCCTGGTATCTTCTGCTTCTCCTTCTGCTTCTTCTTCTTCTTCTTCTGAGCTGTTGACGATGATATGTCTTCTTCGCCTATTTTGAAAAAAGAAAGAAAGAAAGAAAACAGAAACTTGACATCTTTGTTGAAAAAGTTTGTGTATTCATAGACAGAATTAAATAGAACACAAAATAATCGAGCAAAGTGATATTCGTTTCGATAAATTCCTCTTCCAGGCTCTACAATTATATATATGCATGTTTATATACATAGAATATTTTAAATTAGTAGTTAATAACAATATTAGTGTGCTTTTTAAATAATATCGATTTGTAAAGTATGATCAATGCTATAACAGTTTATTATCATTATTATTATTGTTCTCTTGGGTTCCTAGTGGAACATAGGGCTTCAACTGCACGCCTCCACTTGCTTCTGTCCCCTGCTGTACTTTTCACCTGCATCCATGTTAATGCATACTGTTTCAGCTTCTCTCCACACGATCTCCTCCATGTCACTCTTGGACGTCCCACTACTCGCCGCTTCCCTTTCGGGTTCCACTCGAGCGATGCCCTAACGTGCGATGTCATCCAGCGGCCTCCTCTGCGAGTGTCCAATCCATCTCCACTTTCTCCTGCATATTTGTTGGGCGACTGGTTCCTGTTTTGTTTGTTCCCATAGCTTCTTGCTTGTGATTCTTTCAGGCCATCTAATCTTCAGTATAGAACGAAGACAGTTGTTGATAAAGGTCTGCAACAGGCTGTTGAAAATGTTCTTTGTGACCCGCCAAGTTTCTGATCCGTATAGCAAAACTGACTTGACGTTTGTATTGAAAATCCGAATTTTGTTGTTGATGCTGAGTGACGACGATTTCCAGATTGGTTTCAGGTTGATGATGTGTTTCTCGCCTTCCCGATTCTCGATTTGACATCGTCGTCCGTTCCTCCTGTAGTTGAGACAATGCTCCCTAGATAAGTGAATGAAGTAACCTCTTTCAAATTCCTTCCGTTGATAGTGACTGGCACTGGATGTTGCTGTTGTTGGTTGGTTATTTTCATAACCTCCCTCTTGTCTATGTTCACCTGCAGTCCTGTCTTTGCTGCTTCTTCGACCAGTTTGTCGGTTTTCGATTGTAAGTCTTCGATTTTGTGTGACATCAAACATAAATCATCCACGCGCGAAATACAGGTCTTCTAGGTTCTTCACGTCGGTCCAGAATAACAGTTTATTAAAGATGCTTAAATTATAATAATAATAATAAAGAGATAATAGTGAATAGAATATCAACTAAAATTAGGGAAATTTTACAAACATTCTGGATTATTCAAACCTGGATGGCCAAGGTAATGATAATGACTGAACTAACTTCTTGTGGGTGCATAAATTAGGCTTATTAATATGGATCCCCACAGCCTCAGCAATATTTAGAAGTCGAACTCTTAAAGCGAATTTGAGATTTGTTGTTGGTATGCGGTAAATGACCCTGAAAGCATGATTAACGTCAATCATTCTTGTGTTCTGTCTCCACAAGATGAGCCAGAATAGCGCTGAGAATAGATTTTGTTTGACGTTTGCTTAACCACTATGCAGGGTGATGTTCGGAAATTCAACGCGAAACACGCCTAATTGTACGGCCTATGTAACTGGCTCACTCCACATGGGAGCAGTTAAACTGGTATATACACACACATGGAAGACGCGAAATTAGGCAGTTTGTCTTTTATTCCCGAACGCAGAAGAGGAGTGGTTTGAAAGATACAGCGTAATTGAGCAGCAGGGAATGCTCTTTTTACCGCCTCATTTCTAAGGCGATGTGTTAGTATCTCACTTGTGTTGTCTCCTAGGAACTGCGTCTGTAAGAACAAGGCCTTTTTTGGAACTGTTGGTAACTTGGGTTGTTTTGGTTTCAGATTCAGATTCTTATCAATAAACTTTTCGGGATAACCATTCTCACTTAGCAACCGTTTAATATTGTTAAGTTCCTCGTCAAGACATTCATACGAGCAAATCTCTCTTGCTCTGTGGACCAAGCACTTTATTAGATTGCGTTTGTATTTCAAGAGCACGAAATTGAGAAATGGTATACTGATCCGTTGATGCAGGTTTTCTATGTACACTTCTTCGTATTGTGCCGTCCTCTTTTCTGATCATAAGGACGTCTAGAAATGAAATACTAGAGTCTTTTTCTTTCTCAATAGTAAAATTTATTGCAGGATGAACCTCGTTAAATTTATCCAGGATGTTCTTTGCTTCCTCCTTCTCATTTTTCATAATCAAAAATGTATCATCCATGTACCGACAATAGAATTCAAGTTCATTAATAACATCTTTCAAAGGCCCATTATTTTCTAGTTTCGCCAGGAAAATGTCGGCTAGAATGGGTCCTAGTGGCAACCCCATTGCCACACCGTCTATTTGTCTATACAGTTCTTTATTAAATAAAAAGTGGACATTCATTGTACATTTCAAGAGAAGCTCCTTCATAAAAGATATAGGAATGCTAACATCGATGTTTCGTCTTTTGAGTTCTTCACATATAAAGTCCACTGTTTCTATGAGAGGTACATTGGTGAATGATATCATGAATTTATTGTCAACATTTATATCTTTTATCCTTCCAATGAATCCAAAAGTATCCTTTACAACACTGTATTTCACCAACTCATTATTAAGGGGCTGTAAGAGTTCAACTAACCATTTAGATGGTGTGATACATAGCACGTAGTGCTTTATATTGTTATTAACTACTAATTTAAAATATTCTGTGTATATAAACATGCATATATAATTGTAGAGCCTGGAAGAGGAATTTATCGAAAAGAATATTCTTTGCTCGATTATTTTGTGTTTTATAGAATTAAATAGAATTAAAAATCGAAAGAAAGACACAAACACACAGACAGACGAGATCATGGTATTGTGCGTCGGTAGCACAGCGGCGGTTAGGACTCTCGCCGACCAGCATTCACATGCTCCGAAGTTCGATCCCCGTGGCCGACGCACACCTGATATCTATGGTCAGCCTGCAAAATTTCAGCTACCGATGATATCACACATGCTGAGAATTCCACATATCTGTACCAAAAAATACGGTGTGGAATCAAGTTATAATCAAAAAACAAAAAAATGGAAAAGTTTTCAATAAAATGGTAGATGCCTTCTGGTTCACTGGAATAGATTTTCAAGGACATTTCCACCGGTAACTTCAAGCTCTCTTTCCTTGCTAAAATAACAACCAATATCTGGACACCAAGCTAACCCACCCAAGGGAAAATATATAGACAAACAGAAGATGTGTAGCAGTGAGATGGATCACCAGTATCCCCTAGCGTAGCAGATATCTTTATGGACAGCTGGGAAAATATTGCTCTTAATACATTCACCTAATCCTAATCCAAAGATAATATGGTGGAGATGTGTGGATGACTGACACTTTCACACACACAGTGTTAAAAACAGAACATCTCTCTCTCTCTAGCTTCTTGACACACACATATAAACTCACTAGTAGAGGGAATAAAATTCACATTTGAATCGGAAAATGAACAAGGAGAATTAGCCAAGATGTTAGATTGTAAAATAAAACGAATAGAAGAAGGTAAACTACACACTACCGTTTATTAAAAACTAATGCATTCGAATAGATATTTAGACTTTAATTCATCTCATCCGTTAACTGTTAAGGCAGGCTTAGTTAAGTTAGCGTCTAACAAACCGAGCAGTAGCACTAAGTAGTACAAGAAAAGACCTAAATGATGAAATAAAACAGACAGAAGAAGAAGAAGCGTTGGTGTCAAATAACTAACTAACTATCCTATAAAACTCATTAGGAAGATCAGTAAAGGCCAAAGGCCAAATTAAAATAATTGTGAAACTAGTAATGATATCATAAATAAGAGAGAATATAAGACATCTACAGCAGTTATATGATATAAGGAGGGGACATCTGAGACACTCACTCCCTACTTAGGATTCTTAATAAAGCAGGAATTAGGCTGGTGGTGGCATTCAAACCTTCAAACTCACTCAGGTAGGACAAGCTCTGTAGGCTAAAAGACCCGGTGGACCCAATAAAACAAAATAATATAATTTACAAAATACCTTACCATGACTGTGAGTTAGGTCAACTACATAGGTCAAACTATTAGGTCGGGGGTAATCAAATTGTTGGAACATAAGAATTTAGCTAAGGTAAGAATGGTTGACCCCACCCGAGAAGATAAGTAATTTAGAAAAAAGCACTGAGCACTACACTTCACTGCATGCATTAACACGCAACCACACAACAGCATGGTGGGTGGGAGAGGGTTAAAATTCTAAGAACTAATCTATGTAGATGGAGAGAGAGAGATTGATTACTGGCAAATTAATGCACACTTCATAAATATACAAGGTTTTATACTCACTGACCAGAGTAAGTTCTGGAAAGCAAGAAATTTTACAAAATTTTGCAAATCAGATACTTGTATGTAAACTCTTTTGAAAAAGAGGAATTAATACAATAACATGTTGGGTCATATATGGAGAAGCAACTTCAGTGTATGAGGTAGGTGGCGGGTACGAATCCCCGGTGCATCTATCCCTTATTTCTTTAATTACCACATGAGTTAGGGCACATCACCATCCCTCATCGACATTACATTTGAGCAAAGAAGTTATGTCGTTTTAAGGTGCATTCTAATGTATTTAGCTTTCCTTCACGTTGATACAATTATAAGTTCATAAACTTCTGTGATTTCTATGCTGTGAATTACGATAGTTTAAAGTGATGCTTCTTTGTGCACAGTTCTACATTGATCCATTTTCATACCTATCACAGAACACTGTTTGCGTAGGCGGATACAATTAGCAGATAGAGAGATGATCTGACCTTCAAGAAACAGACACATAGAGATGAAAGATTAACTAACGTTGAGTGAGAAACAACCACCAATCAGAAGACTGTGTTTGTCTGCTAACAATAATCTATAATAATGTACATGCAAATCTATAAATATGTGTTGATTTCGTAAATAAACGATCTGTTGCCTGGCCCTTGTCTTCTGTCGTTACAATTTAACTTATTACTAATGAAAAGAAGATAGGATTTTCATCATGAGCTGACATTAGTTAGAGAACCATTGGAAAACCTGCAGGGAGTACTGGACAGCTGTTTCGCCCTAGTTTGGGACTCTTCAGCAGTACGCACTCACTGGGATTCGAACCCAGGACCTTCTGGTTTACAAGGCGAGCTCGTATACCATTAAGCCACTGGGACCCGATCCAATGGCCAGTGCATGAATTCTAACTTCTACCAATTCACGACATAGCGCGACCACTAGCCAATGTCTTCGGTGAGTATTTGTCCTCACACCCGACCTGCTGCACCCTACTGGTCACGACTTCTCACTAGAACCCCAGGTAACCACCTACCTGAATAGGGCAAGTCGCTAGTGAGCATGTCATTGATATTCAAGCGTTGGTTTGTAGGGATTTGATTGGTTACAGGATTTTCATCATGAACTGCAGAAGTTAGAATTCATGCACTGGCCATTGGATCGGGTCCCAGTGGCTTAATGGTATACAAGCTCGCCTTGTAAACCAGAAGGTCCTGGGTTCGAATCCCAGTGAGTGCGTACTGCTGAAGAGTCCCAAACTAGGGCGAAACAGCTGTCCAGTACTCCCTGCAGGTTTTCCAATGGTTCTCTAACTAATGTCAGCTCATGATGAAAATCCTGTAACCAATCAAATCCCTACAAACCAACACTGGAAAAAGAAGATACCCAGAATGACATCAGTATGTATGGAAATAAAACAATGCAAATTTTAGAAAAAAATTCACTTTTTTCACCTTCAAGTAATTTCCGCTTCTCTTCTGCCTCTTCTTCTGCATAAGTATCCGCCATATCCCAGTTAGTCGCCATTGTTGATTTCTCTTGAATTCCAATACGCTCAGTTTGAAGTTGTTTACCGATTGACGCTGGATTGAAAGTGTTCATTCCACGCTCAGTATATCGATCATTGCCAATTCTTGATGCAACTAGCTGTTAAGTGAAGTGAGGTTCAAGTATTAGTTAGGCCGGAAAGTATATGAAATTATCTTTTAATTTATTTAGATAAAGCAATAAGAAGACGTAATTTGTCTGTCTCAATCGTGTGTGTGTGTGTGTGTGTAATGTGCATATTTGCGTGCAACACACATTTCGAACAATCTGATCCATCACACACACGGACTTGTCATAGGAGTACATATATATATATATGTGAAATGAATAAAGAGTTAAGAGGTGGGTGAGAAAATAGACTACTTGACTTGACTTAGGTCAAGTTAAAAGGAGGACATATTGAAGGTGAAAATAACAATGAAGATGAATGACTAAACCAAATAACAGAGGTAATAGTGTAACAACAGAAGGCAAGAGTCAGGTAACAGATCATTTACTAAGGAAATCAACGCATATTTATATATTTTCATGTACATTACTATGGGTATTTAAACAAACAAACACAGTCTTCCGATTGGTTGTTTCTCACGTAAAGTTAATCTTCCATCTATTTGTGACTATTTCTTGAATGTAAAATCCTCTATATGTTAACTGCATCCGCCTACGCAAAGTCTGCTGTGGTCGGTTTTGAATCAATCTTTGTTCACATTTTCTCCCGACAAATCATGGGAACGTAAATATTGACGTAAATTACTGTCCACCAATTCGGCTAGTAGACAGCTCTCACCACAATAGTACATCTGCACCGGCTAGTATCAAAACAAAGTTTACCAACAAGGAAGGTAGGTTTAGTTAGTGTTATGACGAATTGGTGCTTTGAACGCATAAAGGTGGTTTAAAATTCCTAACTGACAGCTAGGGCTAGCTTCCACAAACTTTAGGGTACGCCCTCAACCAAACACGCTTTTATAGATAGATAGCTTTAAAAGATGTGTTAGTTAACGTCAATTTTATGTCCTGTCTCCTCTACAATATGTTTTGCAATAGAGGAGCTAGCTAGGTCTTCGTCTGTTCTCACCATTAGTGGGTTCTGAAGATTATATTTGTTTCTGGAGCCATTTAGGAATATGCTCTGAAGCCAGCCAGCCCTTACTTGCAGAGATCAATATGTCCTCCTTTTAACTTGACCTAAGTCAAGTCAAGTAGTCTATTTTCTCACCCACCTCTTAACTCTTTATTCATTTCACATATATATATATATGTACTCCTATGACAAGTCCGTGTGTGTGATGGATCAGATTGTTCGAAATGTGTGTTGCACGCAAAGCTGCACATTACACAATAAACGATTGAGACAGACAAATTACGTCTTCTCATTGCTTTATCTAAATTCATAGAGGGAACTAATTGTTTTAAATTTTAATTTATTTTGTACTTTTAATAGAATTGATAGCTTAACCAATGTCATGAATTGACAAAGACCGAATATGATCTTTTCTATACAATAAAGGCTATTCTCGTTGAGTATCGTCTTATATATATGTCTCAAATGATTGATCTGAAAGCCTTGAGATGTTAAACAGTTTATTCGTTGACTGTCTTTTCAACGCCCCGCATTCCTCACTGCCTGACTTTTGCCTACTTATCCAGGTTTGACCATGTGATACGATTACAAGTTCATACATCTTGGGTAAAAGACAAACTGCCTAATTTCGCCTCTTCCATGTGTGTGTGTGTGTATCTAACAATTTAACTGCTCCTGTCGAGTGAGTGAGCCAGTTACTTGCATAGGCCGTACACAATTAGGCGTGTTTCTCGTCGAATTTCCCAACATCACCCACCCTGAACAGTGGTTGGTTGGCTAAGTAAAGCACAAACAAAATCTATTCACACCGCTGCTATACTATCTCACTCATCATCTTGTGGATACAGAACACAAGACTGATTGATGTTAACAAGGCGGCTTTCACGGTCATTTACCGCATACCAACTAACAAATCTCAATTTCGCCTTAACAGTTCGACTACTAAATATTGCTGAGGCTGGCTGGCTGTTGGGATCCATATTAACAAGCCTAATTTGTGCATCCAAAAGAAGTTGGTTGGTTCAGACATTATCCTTACCCGCTTGGCCATCTGGGTTTGAATGGTCGATCCTGAATGTTTGTGGAATTTTCCTAATTTTAGTTGACATTCTATTTGCTACTATATCTTTGTTATTATTATTATTATTTAAGCATCTTTAATGAACTGTGGTGATTCCATTGTGATTTTACTTTACAAATCGATATTACTATTTAAAAAGCACACTAATATTGTTATTGACTACTAATCTAGAATATTCTATGTATATAAACATGCATATATAGATATAATTATAGAACCAGAAGAGGAGGAAATTATCGAGAAGGATATTCTTTGCTGGCTGAATTATACTTTGTGATTTATAGATGTGTGAATGAATATTTTTACTATCATAGGATTAAGTGAGTGGTATTTTGGTATGTGACGTATAACATGCAAAGGGTTTTGGAATAATCGTGGGAGTTTACTAAAGATTTTACTGAGATAGAATGTGGATATGGATTTAGATGGATGATGCGGTACTGTCTGTTTGTCTTTTTTCGACATAGAACTTTGCGCCAATGTGCAGCAGTTCAAGTCGCCACACTCCATGTACCACACAAAGCAAGAAAAGAAAGTAAAAATGAAATGCATAGTAGAGACAGTAAACATAGGTGTGAGACAAAGGAATAGTAATAACGAAGAACAAGACAGTTTCATTGGAAATCATAAGTCACAAGGAGTGGATGCATCTGCGCCAGCCAGCCAGCCATTGAGAACGATTCTGAGCCATATCACCAATTGTTTCCAACCATTGGTTTTTACTGTCCCAAGGACCCCAACCAGTCAGGAAGTCTACACCTTCCTACGTGGCTGGCTGGCTGGCTTAAAATAACTGTTGTAGATTTCATTGACTAGTGAAGCCATGTTTTGGTTTGACCGCCGCTAGCTAACTCTTTTCCAGCCTGACCTTATGTCAGCTAACATTGCCTATTGTCAAGGAAGGCGATGACTAGGCCACGCATGCGTAACACATGTCCTAACCATCTCAGTCTATGTAATTTCACAGTCTCGTCTATTGATTTCCCCCTCCTTACCTAGCACTCGACCGACACCTAACCTCAATATTGCTCACCTTATTATACCGCCAATTCACACGGGAGATAGAACGCAGGCACCTATGATGCAGTAATGACCGAATTAGGCGATATGAAAAAATCTCAGTTTAATTTGACAGTTTATCTATCAGACGACCAGTGTACCACATAACGATCCTTTTCATTCTTTTTTCTTATCTATAGTTAAGAGGTGGTGAGAGCTGGCTATTAGCTAAAATTGGTAGGGAGTAATTTACGTCAATGTTTATGTCCCAAATATTATTGGTCATGAGAAAACAAGAACAAAGACTGACTGACTCAACCAACAACCAATCACAGCACACTTTGTTTGCGTAGGCGGATACAATTAGCAGATAGATAAATGATCTGACCTTCAAGAAACAGCCACAAAGAGGTGAAAGATTAACTTTCAGTGAGAAACAACCACCAATCAGAAGACTGTGTTTATCTGCTAACAGTAATCTGTGATAATAATGTACATGAAAATCGATAAATATGTGTTGTCTGACTCTTGTCTTCTGCCGTCACAAAGAGTGTTTTCAAATTAGTGCTGGCTTACTCTGGAATTTTTGCTAAATTAGCTGGATAGTTTAATATTCTCAACATAAAAGGTATCTTAGTCGACAATGTTGTGAGCTGGTACCAATTGGAAAAAAACTAGCTACTGTCAATCTCATCAGGTATACTATGACTTCGATATAAGCACAGCTGATGAAGAGTAGTTAGACAGAAAGGAATCAGACCATTCACTATAAATTCAGAGAGTTACAAGCTACTGAAATGGGATCACACAAATTGTAGTATTGATTAACTAAAGTTACCCGGATGATAAAGAGAGAACAAAAGCCGACTATGCAGAAGGTGGTGTTATTACTTAGTAAAGTGTGAACAAAGAAAGAAGAAACACTGACGCAGAATAATCTGGATTCAGCCTGGAACAGACAAAGCTCAAGTGTGCAATTGGCGAAACAACAGCCAACTACAGATACGTTGATGACATATTCATTTGTAAGCAATGATTTGAGTCACGACGCTTCGTCTCTATTAGACTCTTTTAACAATGCACACAAAAGCATCACTTTCACAATGGAGTATGAAGACGATGAAAAATTCCATTTTTTGGACGTAAAGTTGGAGAGAAATTAAGACGATGGGACACTCGAAAGATCTGTATATCGCGTAAAGACACATGGAGTGGTCTTTACTTGAATTTCAACAGCTTCTGCCCAGTGAGATACAAACGACCGCTGTTGAAAACGCTTTTCTCTAGAGCGAAGAGAATATGTTCACCAAACAAACTAGACAGTGAACTAATGCCTCTTGAAAAATGCTTGAAAGAAAATGGTTACCCACAAAGTTTCACTTAGAAATATGGCAAGAATGAACTCAAGAAGCTTGATACAGCTACAGCCAGTTAGAAGCCGATTTTCATCAAACTCGACTACAAGGGCGACGACATTATGAGAATGGTAAATAAAAGATTAAGTGCAGCCCTGTCTAGGACGTATCCTGCAGCATTTTTAGTCTCTCTACCCCGAACAACCTCCTCACTGGTGCAGTCAAAGTACCCCTCACATGTTACCTACAACTGTGTATACCAATTCACATGTATCTGCGGGAGCAGTTACATTGGAAGAACAGAGAGACGAGGGCCTACGTCAGATTCTGGGAACATGTACCAAGAATCGAGCTGCCGGTTAAAGGGACCGAATTGTTTAAGCGCTTCAATCGCCGCCAAACACCTGATTGACACAGGACAGCACCGAGTAGATGTGCTGGAATCATTCAAAATAATTAACAGACAAAGTACCTCAAGTCTTCTCAGGTTCGCTGAAGCTATAACAATAAAACGATTGAAGCCTGACTTATGTGTTCAAAAAGAATCCGTTGTTGAACTTATATTACCCTGGCGACTCACTTCTTACAAACTCTTTGTTTTCTGATTTTGTTAACTTATTTTTCACTCTCCCCACCCCCACTCCGCTTTATTTTTCGCTTGACTCTCTTAAGAGATAATTTTTCTCGATCTTCTGAGTTCTGCTCACTGTATTACATCATCAACTTCTCTCTCATCTGACCTCATGTGCACCGAAATTTTGATCTTCTCTTATCTAATTACGTAGCTATTACTAATTTTATTTTGTAACCACCCCAACAACACAAGTGTTAATTAATTTTTTTTCAAGGAACTTCTCTCTACCAAGATATATGTATATCGTAACACTTTAGACACCCTGTAAACCTCAATGACTTATTTCACTATGACGCTCTGACAATATGCTTGCTAATGGACAAAAGTTTGTTAAAATTCTACACTTTATTTCTTTTTTTAATAAAGAATCCAGGTTGTACGCATCAGCTGCTGATGAGAACCGACGAAATCAAAATGGATCCAGATTATTCTGCGCGCCAATAATGTTTCTTCTTCTTTCTTTGTTCAAATTTATAAATGGGAATTATTAAAGTGTGCCTAGATGTTTTGTGCTCACAGAATTCCCTCTTCAACAAATTCTTCAACTCTTCAATAGTCTAAATTTCTACTCTTGTATTTTTGTAAATTTGGCCTGCAGGAGTTTTCTTTTTAATAAGATTTAAATTTTTAGTTATTCCACTCAATGTAATGAGAGAAAAAAGTGTTTACGTTTATATGAAAAGTATTTAATCCACATCACGACAGAAATAAGTGGATTCAACGGTTTTTGATGCAACATTCACTTACAGTAATACCGCAGTCATGTTCATTTGTCAGTAAAAAATGACAGACATTTTAATTCCATATTAGTTTGTTTATTAGATGTATCACGCAGTCAGTCAGTGAGTGAAACAGTATTAGTATTTACTGGGTGACAAAGTTGTTTCGAACACAATTCATCATTATTGCTGTTCATAATCATACACATCACCAATTATTATAATCACACTTGACTTCGAAACTTGAGTCTGATAGTTTTCTTTGTTCTCTCCTATTTGTCGTCGTCATTGGGGTAGTAGAATTTTCCAGATATCTGGTGTTCAACAGATGTTGGATCACTCCTGTTACACGTATTCTCTCTCAGTTCATTCGATAAACAAAGCTTCTGTTATCAATCTTCCCCACTCGCCACCCTGTTAGTTGTATTCGATTTCAAAACTGTCATCTTATCCCATCCAGCCTATTGTATGGTTGTGTGTAATTGCATGTAGTGCTTGTGATAGCTGCTGAACTATTCTCTAGATATCTTATCTTATTCGGGTCAACTAATCTAGATTTTCCTGCTAGGTTTTTATGCTTGGTTAGTCTGTCTCACTGACTGCCCCTGTTCTACTACTTTGACCCATCTATGTATTTGACCTGAAAATCCTCGCAGGCAGGGTATTAGATAAACTAAATTGTTTTGTTTTAGAGACCCCACAGAATTGATCCTTTAACCGACAAAGCATGTTTCTAATTGAGTTTGTGGTTGGTTTGAATTCCAGCCACTTTTATTCCTGCCCGCTTTGTTAAGAATTCTGCGGAAGGTGGTTTCCGAGGTTCCCTCTTTGTATGGAATTACTACTGATGATTTCGATTCCTTATTGTTGGTGTTGTCATCATCTAATGTAACAGGAAGCTTTATTTATGGAACCAACTGAAAACACTTGTAATAGGAATGATTCAACACCTGTCCAGCTGAACATCTGGAAAATTCTATGATTATGAACAGCAATAATGATGAATTGTGTTCGAAACACCTTTGTCATCCAGTAAATACTCTAATACTGTTTCACTCACTGACTGCGTGATATATCCATCTAATAAACAAACTGATATGGAATTACTTACTACCACCACCGCATTGCCCAAGTTTTACACATATACTATCAGCCATTTTAAGCCAGAAAGTAAACAGACTATCCTAGCAAAAACAGTGGTAACTAATGCATGACATCACTGTTGATGAGGATGAAAAGCGACAAACTCAAAAACACAACTTGTCTATTGTTATTATTGTTTCCTTTAATTCCTAGACGAACATAGGGCTTCAGCCGTGAGTCTCCATTGCGTTCGGTTCTCTGCTAGAGTCTTTACTTGGCTCCAAGTCTGCCCACACGTTTTCACCTCCTCTTCACATGACCTCCTCCAAGTCACCCTCACCCTCGCACTGACGACCAACTCGCCGCTTTCTATTCCGTCGGGTTCCACTAGAGCAATGGCTTGTCTAGTGATGTCACTTGATGGTTTCCTCAGAGTATGGCCAATCCACCTCTATTTCCTTCTGCCTATTTGTTTCACAATCGGTTCCTGCTGTGTTGGTTCGCTAATTGCCAGAGATCCCTGTTGCTGATCTTTTCTGGCCATCTGATCTTGAGTGATTGAGGGAAGTCAACTGTTAATGAAGGTCTGTAGTTTGTTTGAGGTGCTCTTTATGACGCGCTGGCCAAGTCTCTGATCCGTATAGTGAGTAGCACTGAATGACTTCACATTGCAGCTGAAAATCAGGATCTTATTTTTGATGATGAGTACTGTTGACCTCCACATAGACTTGAGAGTAGTGAAAGCTTGTCTTGCTTTTCCGATTCTTGCTTTGATATCCTCGTGAGTTCCGTCTGCCTGTAGTTGAAACGATGCTTCCCAGGTCGGTTGGTCAAGGAGGTTGTTTCTTTCAGGTTCCTCCCATTTATGCTGATCGTTGTCTGTTGTTGTTGTTCTTGTCCAGGAATCTTCATCACCTCTGTTTTCTCTAGGTTCACCTGAAGTCCTATCTTCTCTGGATGCTTCTTCTGCCAACTCGTTGCTTTTCGCTTGCATATCTTCCAGTTTGTGGGAAATCAGACATATATCATCGGTGAAGTCCAGACCCTCCAAATTTTTTGTGTGAGTCCATTTTATGCCTGTTTCCTCATTGACCAGCCCGCTGTCTGTCGCATTATCCAGTCTACTGCAATCAGGAAAATCATTGGCGATAGTAGGCAACCAGCTTGTCTTACTCCTGTTCTAAACTTTTCTATGCATCTATAAAAATTCACAATACTAATGGATAATGCAGTTAGTGATGTGCAAGAGTAGGTGTTTTCAGGGATTTAGCTATCAGGCTGTTGATACATACATATACGTCTACAAACTCAATGGATTCTGAAGTATGCCTGACTCTCATCTTCAGTCTTACTTGTTAAAAACCTTGATCACAATGCCCAAAATGGGCTACCTTAAATAAGGCCAAATCATCTCTGATGTTTACCTCTGTGCTGGAAACTTTCCCCTCTCATTCCACTATTCACAAAGTACCACACACTACAGATGAAAAAAACAAAAACAACAGATGTAAGCGATAGAAAAAACAAAAAAACGAAATCTACTCAACTGCTTTATAAATTTCATTGCGTTTTATTTGATCAGCAGCTTCACTGGAATCTTGTGAAACAAATTTTGGCGGTTGATCAAATATCCAGAATGTTTCAGTTTCTGTTATGATAACGTCAACAAGCTTGTTCAAATCGGTTTCAGTTAATATCTCCCGTTGTGGTTGAACAAGTGTCTTCACCTCTTAAAGGAATAAATAAATAAGCATTTTTAAGTTCTCAAAAGAATGGACCAGTCATATTTAGATAGGTCAATAAATACTCTTTTCGATAACCCCTTCATCATCATCATCAGGCTCTACAGTTATATATCCATCCATTATAGTGAATGAATGAAAGAATAAATTAGTGTTATGAACAACAACATGAATGTTGCTGTTTAAAAAACATTGAATCAATAATAATAATAATACCAATGGATTACAGTTCAATTGCATCAACATAACACACTGAATGTCAGACAGAGAAATTAGGAAAGATAATATTACAAATTCGTGAATTTATAGTCTCCACCCACTGAAGGCCAGTCAGGGCAGTAGTAGTGGCTACCTGGCTGGACTTGCTTCTTCTCCACACACAGAGCACTGGTTGTTTGAGGCGAATTGCAATAACCTCTGGTGTTTGGAGCATGCGGTGTTTCGATGATGATTTTGTCAATTTATTAGGCACCCAGTAGATGATGATAGAGAAGGATTCTTCCACGCTGGCTGACTGGCTGGCTTTGTGGCCGGTTTGCACCAGATGGTCCAATATCGAACTGTTGATGATGGTTTTCACTACACCTTTACTTAGCCATAGTGGGAGATGCTCTCTAGTGAGAGAGCACGAAAAATCAAGTTCCTAGAGCACCGGCCGATATAACTCGCTCCACCACAAGCCCAGTAGCAGTTGAATTGGTAGATACAATTCCAGGTGGTCAGCTAGACTAGGTACTTCATCTTTCAGTCGAGGTAGCACCATCGGTCGTGTAGAGCATAAGATGTGTAGTTCGCCACCAGCAATAAAAGTTCTTTGAACTGATTTTCTTAATTTCTTCGTAATTATCTCACTTGGTATATCGATCGCCCTTGAATTGCAGTCGTATATAAAGTGGCTTCTTGTTTACAAATACTTAGTAGTCAGTCCTTTTCCGGCGCTTTCTTTGTCATGTGTTTCTTGATAAGTTTGTCGGGATAGCTATTTTCGATCAATCAAAGTATCATATACAATGTCTAATTCATCTTCAATTACTTCTTCTGAGCATATAGCTCTAACTAACTCTGTGGCCGAGTGAGGGTCTTCACTAAATTTCTTTTGTACTTGATAGGAACGAAGCTGTGAAAATGTGTGTATATTGTCCTGCCCAAGTACTTTTGTCGATGCAAATTTCTTTTTATGCTACCATATGGTTTTCTTTTAAGGAAGACATCCAGCAAGGCGGTTAATTCTCTCTTGGGATTCCTCTTCGCATGTGAATTTCATAGCGGGTGATGTACTTCATTGAATTCAGTAATTATTGTACTCCACTATCCGAATCATTATATCACAAAGAATGAGGGTATCATCGACATACCGCAATAATATGAGAGCTTACTGATAAGGTGGTTGTTCATAGGTCTATTTTCTAGCTTACTTAGAAAGAAATCAGTCAAAATGGGACGCAATAGGGAGCCCATCACCACCTCGTTCAATATCTGTTTTTGTCTTACTATTCGTGGTAGATATCGATAAATATTGTATGAATTGCCTAATACCTACATCGCAATTTTTAAATAGTCACATTGTGATTTCTGCGTATGAGAGATTGCATGGTTTCTCTAATTGTATAAAAAAATATCTACATACGAAAAATACCATATTTAAGGGAGTTAAACAAATATGATCAATTCAAAGAACTTTTAATGCTTGCGGCGAACTACACGTCTTATTCTCTACACGACCGATGGTGCTACCTCGACTTTAAGATGAAGTACCTAGACTGGCCACTTCAAATTGTATTTATCAATTCAACTGCGCTTGTTGTGGAGCGAGTTATATCGGCCGTTGTTGCTCTAGGAACTTGATTTTTCGTGCTCGAGAACATATCCCACTGTGGCTAAGTAAAGGTGTAGTTAAAACTATTAACAGCTCGATATTAGACCATCTGGTGTAAACCGGTCACAAAGCCGGCGTAGAAGAATCCTTCTCTAAAATATACCGGGTGCCTAACAAACTACCAAAATCGTCGAAGCATCGCATGCTGCAAACAGCAGAGGCTATTGCAATTCGCCTCAAACAACCAGTGCTCTGTATCCAAAAGAAACAAGTCCAGACCCTACTACTGCCCTGGCCCTCAGTAGAGACTATAAACTCATGAATTTGTACTATTACCTTTCCTAATTCTCCTGACATTCAGTTTATTTTATGTTGATGCTGTTCAGCTGTAATCTAGCAATATTATTGATTTGATGTTATTTAAACAGCAACATTAATGTCGTTCATAAGACTAATTCATTCATTCATTATAATGTATATATAATTGTAGAAACTGATGATGAATTTATCGAAAATAGTAATCTTTGTTCCGTGTCTCTTCTTCTGAAAATATGATTCCACATCTCCGAATAATTTACTGATGTTTACGAGTTGATCACGGATTGATACCAGTTAGAGAAGCATTGAAAACCAGCCACAGGGAGTACTGGACAACCAGCTGTTCCATCAGCCTAGTTTGGGAACCATCGACAGTACGCACGAACCACAGAGGGTTCGAACCCAGGACCTTCTGGTTACAAGGCTAGCTGGCTCGTATACCATTCAGCCACTGGGAGCCGATTTAACGCCTATGATTCCCAAACTAGGCTGATGAAACAGCTGGCTATCCAGTACTCCCTGTGGCTGGTTTTCAATGCTTCTCTAACTGATATCAATCCATGATCAACTCGTAAAAACAAAACATAACTAACCCTTACAAACCAAACTATAGAAAATTGATCTGATGCTCGCTAGTGAGTGACTTGCTACAGTAAGGAGTTTCCTGGAGTCAGTTCTAGTGACAGTTAGTGACCAGTTAGGTCCATCTAGATGTCATGTGTGAGGATGGATGTCCCACCGACGACACTGGTTGGGGTCGAGCTAAATCCCGAATTGTTAGAAGTTAGAAATCATGCACTGTCCGTTGAATCGGGTCGGGTCCCATTGGCCGAATGGTAGCTTACCTTGTAACCGTAAGATCCTGGATTCAAATCCTAGTGGGTGTGTACTGTCGATGATTCCCAAACTAGGCTGATGAAACAGCAGCTGTCCAGTACTCCCTGTGGCTGGTTTTCAATGCTTCTCTAACTCATTTGAATCCGTGATCAACTCGTAAAAACATAACTAACCCTGACAAACCAAACTATAGAAAATTTACTGATTTCTTCAACAACAACAACAAAAAACAAAACATTAGATTCTGAATTTTTCCTGAAAACAAAAAAATTCGTAAATTACCAGTGTATATTCGATAACGATCGGCTTCTTCGCTAGTCTCAGAATGTGATTCCCCGGTTGGACTTGACCCACTGACAAATGATCGTGTAAAGGTAAACGGGTTTGTAATATGAAGGCTACTCCCACTATGAATTGATGCTTGTGAAGCTTCTGTACTCTTGAATTTTAAAAAAACAAACAACAAACAATAAAAGTTAATAAAGCAACAACAACAACAACAGACAACAATCAGTATAAATGGGAGGAACCTGAAAGAAACAACCGGTTTTACCTTCCTGGGAAGCATCGTTTCAACTACAGGCAGACGGAACTCACGAGGATATCAAAGCAGTGAGGACCGGGAAGGCAATACAAGCTTTCACTACTCTCAAGTCTGTGTGGAGGTCAACAGCACTGAGCATCAAAAATGAGATCCTGATTTTCAACTCCAATGTAAAGTCAGTCAGTGCTACTCACTATACGGATCAGAGACTTGGCCAGTGTATCAAAGACAGCACCTCAAACAAACTACAGACCTTCATTAACAGTTGTCTTCGCTCAATACCACTCAAGATCAGATGGCCAGAAAAGATCAGCAACAGGGATCTCTGGCAATAAGCGAACCAACACAACAGGAACCGATTGTGAAACAAATAGGAAGGAAGAAATGGAGGTGGATTGGATTGGCCATACTCTGAGAAAACAAACCATCAAGTGAGTGACATCACTAGACAAGCCATTGTTCGAGTGGAACCCGAAGGGGAAGCGGTGAGTTGGTCGTCAGTGCGAGGGTGAGGGTGACTTGGAGGAGGTCATGAGAAGAAGAGATGAAAGCATGTGGGCAGACTTGGAGCCAGGCGAAGACTCTAGCAGAGAACCGAACGCAATGGAGACGCACGGCTGAAGCCCTATATTCCTCTAGAAATTAAAGGAAAGAATAATAATAAAGCAGGATTTAATAAATTCATTCAAAATGCCTATATCAATTTGATGAGTGTGTTTGAGGAGGAAGTAAATACATAGGTCGTACAGAAAGGCGATTTAAAACAAGCAATTAAGGTTAATAAAGCAGGATGATTTAATGATGGATTCATCAAATTTCGGCAGCTGCACAGCACTCTACATACACGGATATATATATACTCTTGAAATTACATTGGGAGATATAAGACTGATAAGTAAACAAACTACATTGAATCAGTCATGCAGAAAGACAGGCGCGAATGCTTTTCCAGGTCATGTTCAATTAGATAAGGACAGAGGGAGAGAGTATGGGAGATCAAAATTAAGATAAATTGCATTACGCTTCAATTACATCACTTAGATAAACAATTAGTCATTAGAGAATATACCAAGAATTGCAACCAGAGGGATGTCAATAGTAATAGTTGTAATAACAACAATAATAATAATATTGTTGAAGTGGTTTAAGATTATCCTACTGATTATGGATAGTTTCAAATGAATCAAGAATAATAATAATAGTAATAATAATAATAGGTAGAATAATAAGTAAAACGTATTACCATGGTAGTTCTACCGAAATTTGATGAATTCATTAAATTCTACTTTATTAACCTTTATTGCTTGTTTTAAATTCGTATCGGGAAATAAATGTTTTCAATTCTTGAGGAAAGGCGATTATCTACTCGCATGATGGAACATTTGCCAAAATGGTCGAAAACAGTTGAATGCGCAAAATGCCATAAAAACCTCAATAACAATCAAAATCTTGTGGACTATGGACATGATATCGATGCGGTCAAGTCATTTCCACTGTTGTCAGCAGACAAAGAAACAAGAAGATGCTTGCAATTGAGGAGGAGTATTGTGCAATCCGACTTTATAAACCAGGTGTCTGTGTACAAAAGGAGGTGGTTGGGATTCTGAATTTACCATGGTAATACGTCTTACCTATTATTCTACCTCTTATTTTAATTATTGTCATTATTATTACTATTATTATTATTATCTTGTCTGCAATGCTATAAAAACTAGCATGATGCCACTAAATGAGTTTTCTATTTTCTTTTTTTCAGAAAGGAACGCGGGCGTGGCCGTGTTAAAGCAAGAAGAAGACCGTATGTCAAACCTAGTTATAAAGGACGATAATTAGCTTGTTTCCAGGTATTTCGAACCCTGCGTGCTGGAAATAGAGACGTTCCTTTCGCATTTTCATCGTCTTCCTTCACTGGTGGTGCCTGTTGCTTCTATGTGTTACATATCTATTTGAACATGAGCTAGAAAACATTCGCACCTGTCTTTCTGCATGACTAATTCAATGTAGTTTGTTTACTTATCAGTCTTATATCTCCCAATGTAATTTCAAAAGTATATATGTATATATCCGTGTATGTAGAGTGCTGTGCAGCTGACGGACGAGTTCTACCGAAATTTGATGAATCCATCATTAAATCATCCTGCTTTATTAACCTTAATTGCTTGTTTTGAAAGCAACAATTTAGGCGATTATTATTGTTATTGTTGAAAAGGAAATAACTTACAATATCTTTTTCTTCACGAATTCGCTTTTCTTCATTCAACAATGGCAGTGGAGTTAAATCTGTTCCATGTTCATCGATCAGTCGGATTGTTGGTCTTGAAGGTCGTTTTTCTGTATCTGATCGTTTTGAAAACGAACTTGATACTCTTCTGCCTAAGACCAGTGCACTCTTGCGTATTGGCTGACTCTTTTTATGTACGCCTGACATTAGGAAAGCTAAAAAAATGGAAGGCAAAAAAGTGAATGTTACAACTACTTCTATAGGGAACAATGTTTTTGAATAACTGAAGCGTACGAAGTCAATTTGTAAAATATATGGTCAGCAAGTCGATCAATTGTAGTCAGTTACAATCTCGTCTAGGATGTGAAATGTCACAAAATAGCTCAAAGGCAACCAAAACAACATCATGAAGCTGCTTAGTTCAAATGATTGTGACAGTTAGGTAGGTTGGTAGCCCTCTCCAGCACCGCTAAAGATCATGAAGAAGGCGAATGCAGCGAGCCACTTAACCATTTTTCAATAGGAAGGTGTTATTTTACTGCAAAAAATTTAGCTGTTAAAATGAAACTGGCCACTGGTTGGTCGGTTGGTTTTCGACATAGAACTTTGCACATATGTGCGGTGGTTCAAGTCGCCATACTCCATGTACCACACAAAGCAAGAAAAGAAAGTAAAAATGAAATGCATAGTAGAGACAGTAAACATAGGTGTGAGACAAAGGAATAGTAATAACGAAGAACAATATAGTTTCATTGGAAGTCATAAGTCACAAGGAGTGGATGCATCTGTGCCACTGAGAACGATCACTTTGAGCCATGCCACCAATTGTTTCCAACCTTCATTGGTTTTTACCGTCCCGAGGACCCCAACCAGGAAGTCTACATCTTCCTACGTGGCTTAGACTAACTGTTGTAGATTTCATTGGCCGCTGAAGCCATGTTTTGGTTTGACCGATGCTAGCTAACTCTTTTCCAGCCTGGCCCTATATCAGCTAACATTGCCCGTCGTGGAAGGCGATGACAAGGCATACGTAGCACATGTCCTAACCATTTCAGTCGATGTAATTTCACAGCCTCGTCAATTGATTTCCTCTCCTTACCAAGCACTCGACGCCTAACCTCAATATTGCTCACTTTATCATACCACTTCACACGGGAGATAGAACGCAGACACCTATGATCAAAGACAGCTAATCTTTTCATGTCTTCCGCTCTCAATGGCTAGGTCTCACAGCGGTCAACGTGCTCTACCACTTCACTTCTTATTTCTAATCTAGAGGTCGGTGAAGTCCAATCCTGCAGCATCATCTTACATTTTACAGGGGTGAATCGCATGCTAAACATACGAAGACTTTTGCTCAAGGTGTTCAGGAGACCGTGTCTGCATTTTGTCAGCGTCCTCGCCTAGAAGGTCTATATCGTCCGCATATTCTAAGTCGGCGAGATTATTCCCTTGTAACAAGTCAATCCCTGAGTCGCTGAAGTGTGTTAGGGTTAAGTCCATTAGTACGTCTATGATGAAGTTGAATAGGAATGAGGATAATGGTCATCCTTGACGGACGCCACTAGTCGTCACCACTTCAGATGACAACTCGCCATAAGCCACTGAAGGGATAAATATAACCAAACCGACTCTCTCTCTCGGAGAACACAACATATGACTAAGGGTAAAAATCAATTAGTGTAGTACCTTCAGGGAAAATGTGATCAAATGTTACTGGTGATTAACTCAGTATTGTAAAGAGAGGTTTGAAAAAGTTTCAAAAACATTTCCACTCAGCTGTCAAAAGTGATTAATGAGAACTTTTTATACAGACAGGTCAACACATGATAATTTGAGTCCTAAAACTTGGAACAAAGGCTGTAGGCTTCCAGTGAAAAATTATGGTAAAAATTTATTATTCAATGCTGATATATATAGAGTTTGAGGTTCAAGATAATTCAGTGAAGCGTACTGAACTAATTGGCTGGACTTTGAAAGGAACAAGATACACGTGGGACCTTTCATATTTGAAGTTCACTCTTCTGGTGAAAGCACTAGTTATGCTAAAGTCTAATTGCCCATTAGTAAGTGATATTTAGAGCTATTGGTTTAGAAAACGTAAATAACTACAAATCAGGTTGCATTTGTTCCAAACAGTAGTATATCGGGCTTTCATTAAGCAGCTTTAATAACTTAAAAGTCGTCCGATAAATGCATCTATTTGAAAAGAATAGGTTACGTAACTCCTTACATTCGACAAGTTTTATTAGAGTAGTAAGATCTAAAATAAACTTCATAAGCAACTGAAAGTGAGAAATCCAAGATAAAAACGATTCCATATGGCATTAATAATAGGTTTGACATATTAAGGTGGAGTCAGGTATTTATCTAAGAGGACAACAGGTCAGTAGGCATTTTTAAATTATTTGCGAATTCAACATAAATAGATGGTGAAATGATCAAGCAGCTTTGGTTCTGTATAGGTTACCTATGACATAATTCGGACGAATTATTATATTTGTGTATACGCTACTCCTGTGCGTCGGTTGCACCGCGGCTAGGACCCTCGCCGACCATGCACATGGCCCGGGGTTTGATCCTCGGCCAACGCACCCCTTTATCTCGCGAAGCCAGTAATACAAAATGCTGGTAAGGAGGAAACTTCCATCAGTTCAGACTCACTTGGACTTAGGTGTCATAGTTAGCGACGACTTAAAAACTACAGCACACTGTCGCGCGGTGGCTGCACGTAGTTTCAAATCCTTATGAGCAATTCTCAGAGCCTTCACTAGAATCACCAGAGATATGTTCACCTCCTTATATACATCTCTGGTGATGTCAAGACTGGAAAACTGCATCCAGGCCGCCAGCCCTTGTCTAAAAGGGGACTCACACATTCTAGAAAGGGTTCAAAGGAAGGCAACACGTATGGTTCTCGGAATGACTAATTTATCATGCGAGGAAAGACTAGACAGTTTAAATCTCTTCTCCCTATCATACCGTAGCAGGCAGAGAGGAGATTTAATCACAATGCTTAAATAATTTTAAATAATGACTACGGACCTGACCTATTCTACCTTTTCCTTCCCACCAGGTCGGAACACCTTAGAGGACATAGCAGGAGAGTTCAAAGGCCAAAGAGAAATCATATTGCTGTTGAGTACTGGTTCTCACACCGAGTCATAAACTCTTGGAACCGACCGACTCCCAGAAGAAGTAATGTCTCCAACCTCAACTGATTCGTTCAAGAAGAGTTTGGACAACCGCAGAAATTTTCTAGAAGAGGATTAACACAGGCTCCAAGCCTTCTATCCTCAACAAATAAATCTGAAATCTGAAAGGTTGGACACGAGGCTAGCAACTGCATACTGTAAAAAATAAACACTGCTACAGAAACTTCAAGCCTCTAGCTTGAAGCCCTATGTTCCAGTGGGAAAGTGAAGGAATAAAAAATTACACTACCTCAGTATTCTTATATACTGTATTGATCATCACCTATTGGTGCAAAAGACTGACACAAACATAAAAATAAGTTTATATCTTGAAGAAGCCGTGGGAAACTTCAATATTCTCCCACTTGTTATTTTTCACTTTGATCTTAGAGACAAATATCACCATTTTATGCAAAAATTACATAAAACTAATACATATGTTCTATCTACAGTTATATGTGAGAAAATTTACCTCGTAGGAGTCAACCCTTATAAATTATTGATGTAGCTATCATAGGCAACGTAAGTGTTACATCTTGGCTCTGGAGGAGACGATTATGTTGCATTTTCCCAGATTGCTTACACTGATCAGTGCAAATATTAACCTCCTCCATACTTCTCATGTGTCCCTTAGATTTTATTTCGAAACCATCAATTGTTTCTTGAATGATTAAAATAATCTTAACCCCATGTGTTTTAAAAACAAAGTAGCGACAAAACCACATGCAACGTTATCTTCTGCAAAAAATTGCGCTTATTCTGTTCTTATATTCCGAAACAAAACATATATCATAAAATATACCAAACACCTATAAATGACAAAATATTTTATTCATATTGGGCAAGGGCTGAAAAAAAGTTGGGAGAAAGATGGCAAACTATATAAGCGACACATTTGTGAAAAAAAATCAAAGTCGAACTGTCAACCGAAAGCTCATCACCAAGGTATTGACCTACAACTTCAAACGTTTAAACAAAGCCGAATGGGTTAGGCGTTTCAAACTGTTTAAAATGATCTAATATTGGATATATATCCCGTGATTTTACAATATTTTATTAAAAAGTGGTAAAATGTGGTGACTTAGCAGCTCTATCTTACGGCAAGATGTACATTACTGACACCGTCCTTAGCTCTAATTCATGCTTGAAATAATCCCGTTAACCGATGTGTTCATCGGTTACATTTATTACAGGGATTAAATTATATATCTGTTTGGAATTCCAAGTGGTTTTGAAGATGTGAAGAATTTAAAAAGTGCAAAAAAGGGCTAAAATGGCTTAGTCAAAGTGGGGGTTCAAAAAACAGGTCTTGTAAACGCCAGGTTAACTCATTAGACCTTTTATTAAAAACGGAGGATGTCAGTCGTAGATTAATGATAAAGGAATACAGGGAAACTAAATCTAAGCGAATTAGGTAGTATGTCTTGTTTGCTCTTCATAAGATTTCTATCTTATTCGAACTTACTGAGTAATGAGTCGATTTTCGTAGACTTCCTAGGCTGAATTAACAACTTACTTACCGTTTCTTTGAACAACGTCAAATCATTTTTTGCAACAAATCTTTACGGCCGGGCATTTTGAATATTTTAATCTCCGTATAGATGGACAATAATCCCCAGTAAAATATATTTAAGGGACTGCCACCTAAGGATATAAATGGAATGGTAAATTCACCAAGACAGCTGACTTATTTACTATGGTGTCCGTTACTTAACGAGTAGTGAGATACTATTGCACAAAAAAAAATTTTTGTCGGTTCTTCATAGATTCTATGGAGGATCGCCTTTGGCATCAAAAGCAAACTTGGATCATATTAAGTTAGGGCTTTGCCTAGATGAGATGGGAAAATAAGAAATGTTGGAAGGGATAGCTACACCATTTTACGTTAGAAAAATAAAACATTCACTTGACTTTAGAGAAGTAACAGTTTTAAGGCTTCTGCAGATAAGTCTCTTAATTGCCTCATCTCAGCCACTCAGCATTTCGAAAATGAAAATTGTTTTACAAGACAGA